CCTCTATGGCCACAAACACGTATGCTGGGCCGCTTCCACTGCAGTGGGGAGAAGGAGAGGAAGGGAAAAAGGGAGAAGAGGAGGAGGGGTCAAGGGGAGGAAGGGAGGATGGGAGGAGGGGAGAAAGGTTAACTGAGCCTCGGTTGAAAACAACTGAGCCTCTGTTGGAATAACCAGAGCATCTGTGGGAATCACCTGAGCCTCTGTTGAAATCACCTGAGCCTCTGTTGGAATCACCTGAGCCTCTGTTGGAATCACCTGAGCCCATTAACGGCGTCCAGCAGGCGTTCTTCCACCTCGTACACCTCCCCCACGGCGCCAAACATGGCCCCCACCAGCGCCTCTGTTGAAACCACCTGAGGCTCTGTTAGAATCACCTGAGACTCTGTTGGAATCACCTGACCCACTGTTGGAATCACCTGAGCCCAGTAACGGCGTCCAGCAGGCGTTCTTCCACTTCGTACACCTCTCCCACGGCACCAAACATGGCCCTCACCAACGCGCCATCCTCCTCTGTTGCGCTCTCCCCCAGACTCATGGCTGGCAGGGGGAAAACACAGAGGAATAGGGGAGGAGAGAGGAGGAGCCCGCATCTTGGAGCAAGCATGGGGAGGGGGACACGCAGGGGCGACATTCCCTTTGCGGAAAGCCAAGTCTCACCAGCAGCAGTGGCACCAACTAGGCAGGGGGTATTTGGCATGACTCGCACTATCCGCACGCCCTCCCCCGCCCACTGCTGCATCTTGGTGCAGGGTAAGGGGGCTAGACGGGGAAGGGGGCTACATGCACCTTGCTTTTGTTCTCCCATCCTTCTCTTCTCTCACCAGCAGCAGTAGCGCCAACAAGACACGGGGTGTTGGGCATGACTCGCACTATCCGCACGCCCTCCCCTGCCCACTGCTGCATCTTGCCAAGTGGGGGGAGGGAGGGGGGCTGCATGCATGCCTGCGTCTGTTCCTATCCCATGCTATCACCTACCAGCAGCGGTGGCGCCAACAAGACACGGGGTGTTGGGCATGACTCGCACTATCCGCACGCCCTCCCCTGCCCACTGCTGCATCTTGCCAAGTGGGGGGAGGGAGGGGGGCTGCATGCATGCCTGCGTCTGTTCCTATCCCATGCTATCACCTACCAGCAGCGGTGGCGCCAACAAGACACGGGGTGTTGGGCATGACTCGCACTATCCGCACGCCCTCCCCTGCCCACTGCTGCATCTTGCCAAGTGGGGGGAGGGAGGGGGGCTGCATGCATGCCTGCGTCTGTTCCTATCCCATGCTATCACCTACCAGCAGCGGTGGCGCCAACAAGACACGGGGTGTTGGGCATGACTCGCACTATCCGCACGCCCTCCCCTGCCCACTGCTGCATCTTGCCAAGTGGGGGGAGGGAGGGGGGCTGCATGCATGCCTGCGTCTGTTCCTATCCCATGCTATCACCTACCAGCAGCGGTGGCGCCAACAAGACACGGGGTGTTGGGCATGACTCGCACTATCCGCACGCCCTCCCCCGCCCACTGCTGCATCTTGCCAAGTGGCACGCCCGCAGCGATCGACACGATGAGGTGGCGCTCCGTCAGCGCGCCCGACGCCGCCAGGTCAGCGAGTACCGGCTGCACGGCGAACGGCTTGACTGCAACGAAGATGACGTCACTGCTGGCCGCCACCTGGTTGTGGGGGTGCGGGGTGGGGGATGAGGTGAGGAGGTTGGGAATTGGGGTGTTTGAGGTGAGAGCGGAGGAGATTAATGGGTAGGAGGAGCAGGAATCGGCTTGACTGCAATAAGGATGACGTCACTGCTGGCCGCCACCTGGCGGAAGGGAAGGTGAAAGGGTGGTGGGAAATGGGGTGTTTGAAGAGAGAGCGGTTTCAATGGGTTGGAGCAGGATTCAGCTTGACTGCAACGAAGATGACGTCACTGCTGGCCGCCACCTGGGGGAAGGGAAGGGGAGTGGGGAATGGGGTGAAGGGGGGGGCGTGAAGGGGTGAGTGGGGAAGGGGGAGAAGGAAAGCGGGGGGGGTGGGGGAACGGGAGAGAGACCTGCCTTGGAAATCTTTCTCAATCTGCTTTGGGTTGAGTTGAGGGGAGGAAGTGAGAGTGGCAGGGTATGCTTCCCTTCTCTTTACTCAACATTGCCCCATTCTCCCTCCCAGAAATAGAGAAGCCACGTGTATTGAGGGTATTTTTGAGACGTCTCAAAAATACCCTCAATACAGGAAGTGAGAGTGGCAGGCAGGGTATGCTTCCCTTCTCCTCTTTACTCAACATTTCCCCATTCTCCCCCCCACCCCCTTCCCCTCTTCCTTACTCCCCCCTCCCCCACCCCACCTCCTTGGCGTTCTCCTTGGTGCCAATGCCAATGCCTATGCCTTGAAACACCCCCTCTATCCCTTATCCCCATTCCCCCGTCCCCCCTTCGCGTTCCCCATTCCCCAGTCCCACATTTCCCTCCCCTCACCTCCCTGGCGTTCTCCTTGGTGTCGAGTAGATCCCCATGCCTTGAGTAGACTCAGAATTCACCCCCTACTTCCCCTGCCCCAATCCCCCCCAATCCCCCTTCTCCCCACCCACCTCCCCTCCCCTCACCTCCCTGGCGTTCTCCTTGGTGCCGATGCCGATGCCTTGAGTTAAGTCGACTCAACGGTCACCCCCTACTTCCCCTGTCCCCCTATTTCCCCTGCCCCTACCCCTACCCTCCCACCCCCGTCCCTTCCGCCGCACCTCTCTGGCGTTCTCCTTGGTGTCGATGCCGATGCCTTGAATTGAAACACCCCCTACCTCCCCTATCTCCCTATGTCCCCTATTCCCCACTCCTCATTCCCTCCCCACCCCTCCCCTCACCTCCCTGGCGTTCTCCTTGGTGTCGATGCCAATGCCCTGAAACACTCCCTCTATCCCTTATTCCCCATTCCCCCGTCCCTCACTTCCCCTTCCCCCCCCCATCCCTCCCCCTCCCCTCACCTCCCTGGCGTTCTCCTTGGAGTCGATGCCAATGCCCTGAAACACCGCCAGCCTGTCACTGTTGACGTCAGCAGCTGCCATGTCAGCAATGTCCACCACGCCCGCCGCGCTCAGCCCCCGCGCCAGCGCCTCCGCCATCTGCCCCGCTCCTGGAGTGGGGAGGAGGGGGGAGAGGAGGGGGGGGAAAGGGGAGGGGAGGGGAGGGGAGGTCTATTGAGCTGCCTCAAAAGCTGCGATCAGCTCCCGCGCCAGCGCCTCCGCCATCTGCCCCGCTCCTGGAGTAGGGGATGAGGGGGAGGGGAGGGGAGGGGAGAGGAGAAACGGGGAAGAAGCGAATGGGGACTGGGAAGAAAACCACAGCGCACGTTAAGGTTAAACGAAGTAAGCGACTCCAATCAAGTTATAAAACACGCTGGTGCTTGCCTATAAACCCGAGCCGCACTCTTTTCTCCGCAACTCCCGCCTCATTCTCCGCCAGCTCCCGCGCTGCATTCTCATCCCCAGAGCTGGCGCGCGCTACCGCCACGCCCGACGACCCCCTGCGCGGATTCGCGGAAGCGAGACTCGGCGCGCTTATCGGCCCGAGGACACGCCCCACCACGGGGTTCCACGCTCCCAGGCGCGAAGATTCCGCGAAATGGGGTGCTGCGCGCGCGGTACATTTGGAGTGGTTGAAAATAGTCGAGAGGGACCGAGACGCGGTAATATGGCTGACCGAGCCATGGCTACTGTAGGGTGCGCTTCGAGGAATCGCGAATGCGGAGCGGGAGAGTAGCCGCGCGAGGCGGGAGCAGTTAGCGGACATGGCGGGGGGACGGTGACGAATTAGAGGTGGAATGTAAGAATGCGGACAGAGAGAATGATCGGAGGCGACACGTCAGCTCAGCCGCCTCAGCTTTAGGCGGAGGGATTCAGCTGTGCTGACGTGTGTTGGAAATGCCTCGTGATGAAAAGAGGCGAGGTAATGAACCCACGTGGTATTGTTGTGAGTGGTGTGGATGCTGGAACGGACCGACATCAACCGATGGGAACCGAAAATGGTGCATGAGTTCCATAACTCTTGTTCAATAAAAGGTGAAAAATCCCACCTTATACTGTTGTTGTTCCGCCCAAGTCATGGCCGCCTCTTTTATCGCGTACAAGCGAACAAGGGCTGTTTTGCACCACTTTTAAGATTTCTACTCTACTATCGTACGAGTTTTCTACGATTTTCTTCCACGTTTGGCACACGGTAAACGGGAAGCTTCCGCAGATCCATTCACCGCTCCATCCGACTGCGCTGCGCAACCCGCTGGCCCCGCGCCTGGAGTCGCGTGGCGTGCTGTAGAAGATCTTCCCCAGTTTCCTACCCTCCTCCCCCCGTTCCCAGATCTAATTCCCCGAACCAACCGCCAACACCACCGAATTCGTCGCGCCCTCCCACCTGTGCGCTTTTGAGCCAAGCTGACAGGCTGGGACCGATTCCCGACATTGACTCACCCGCTGCGCCCCATAAACCGACCGACCAACTTTTTTAGATGTGTCCAAGCCGAATATTGATTTTCGCTCATAAAATTTCCCAACCGTTTTATATTGCATTCGAAAGCTTCAAAACGTGAAGATCGCAGTAAGCCGGTCTTTCCGGGGACACCCTTACCTTTCAGCCCCAATTGTGGCGCGCCTCCGAGTACACAGGTTTGGTCCGCATGTCATGCACCCCCCAGGAACCAGCAGCACAGCCCAGACCAGACCCGTCGATCACACGAGAAGTACTGTATTTAGTACGCATGCTGCCACTAAACAACTTCACCAAATCTTACTTAACAACTTACTCTGCAAACCACTCCGCAATCTAGATCTCCGTGGTACTCCAGCACAGATCAGTCATTTATCTGCGGCCGTAGTTCTGCAACGCTCTCAGCAGTCACTCACTCGCCTGAGCATTTCAGATCTCAGCACCGTCTATCAACTCTCTCCTCATTCACACGATGACGCGCTTCGCTCTAGTCGTCGCCATGCTCCCGCTCGTCCTGCTCCTCCTCGGATCGTCACAGCCCGCCAGAATGCTCGCATCCGCTGAATCCGCCCACGAATCATCCGACATGTTCTCTTCTGGCGTCGATTCGTCCTTGGAAAGAGAGCTCTCGTCGGCGGGACTCACGGGATTCGCAACCCTTATCAAGCACGCGGGACTCATGCCAGAGCTCGAACTCCGCGCGCGACTCGGATCCGCGCTGACCGTGTTCGCGCCGACCAACGTCGCGCTCATGCGCGCGGACCCCGCCCTCCTCGCGTTCCTCAAGCTTCCGCGCAACGCCGCGCTGCTCCGCGACGTGCTCCTGTTCCACGTGGTCGCGCGGCCCGTCTCCGCGTTCGCGTGGGAAGGGTCGTACGAGACTATGCAAGGCGCGCCGATCGCGCTCCACGTGGACGCGCTGGCGTTCCAGGTTGGCGGAACCAGCGTGAAGCAGTACCGCGCGCTCACGCTCTTCTTGAATCCCCTCTCCCCCGACGAGCGCCATTCCGGAGAAGGCGCGCAATCCGCCGCCGCGTCCGCGCAACTAAGTATCGAGGGCGGCGCCGGGGGGAGCAGCACGGTCGTGGTTCACACCGTCAACGCGCTCCTCCTGCCTCCCTCCGTCGACGATCTACTCTTGATGACCGCCGGTGATCTCTCTATCGCCGCCGGGATGGGCGAAGGCGGACGGCAACTAGCTGAATCGTCGGGGTCCGGTAGCCCTGCACCCGCGTCATCTCCCAACCCGGCGCCCGCCCCGCCAGTCCAGCCGTCCCCTCCTCCGCCAACTCCTGCTTCTCCTCCGCCTCCGCCCAAGAGCGGTGCGCGGGTGTGCGCGCGGAGCTTATGGGAGCTGTTTTCTTCCGTCGCATTGGCTGTCGTCGTCGTTGTCGCGTTGTTCTGAGGGGGACGTTGAGGCTCAATGTGGAGGCTCTGGCGAAATTCAATTCGGTTTCGGCGAAATTTAGATAGGCGTAACTTATACGACCTCATAGCAGTGTACAACCTGAAAACTAAATTAGGTTTTCCTAACACTATTCACAAGCTGTTCTTTCATATAAGTTGGAACGTTTTGTTCGCGAGATTATACATTCAACCCAAGTCATGGGAATAACAAAGTGTTAGCGACTTTCACCAGAAGGACCTTATAGCGGAGCCAAGATTCCCCAGCCTGCACCCTTGTCCACACTGAAATACTTTAGTCGCGAGTTACGCTGCGTGCTTTCGGATTCTTAGACCAAGCGCGTCAGCTGCCCTACTCAGCACGTTAGATAGTGGCCGTTTACGTACGGTCCTACTCTCGTCTGTGCTTAACGGTCTTCTTGTAGGCCAGGTTTTGCTCGCTCCTTCCGCGTCGTACCGTTTAGCGTGATCACGAGACTGTAGGCTTCGCTCCCGCCGTTAAATCACGAAGCGCAGCACTACGAAGGGTGCTTCTATAGCGCTGTAGGGTTCTTCTTGTCGAGTAAAGAGTTGGTTCTTTCTATTCTCTCCTCCCTGCTTGCGTTCTTCACGGAGGTCTATACCAAGGAAGCGTATTGGGGGAAGCTTATAGCAAGGAACCGAATATTAAGGAATCTTATCTCGTGGAACCAGCATGGTGTGCGATAAATGTGAGTTACGTACTTATGAAGGTCCCTCGTCGTCTGAAGCTTCCTCGTCGTGTCTAGCATCTCTGCCTACATGTCTCTTCCCCGTTCGTCCTTACCTTGAAGCCAGCAAGGGCGTCGAGGAGGACAAGGGGAAGGTTAGACGCTCAAAGCCTTTCTACGCCCAGGGGAAGGTTAGAAGTGTCTTCGAGTTATTTTCAAGCCTTTTTTCCTCATGGTGGCATCCGGCAGGTGCGAAGAAGCTGTCAAAGGTGATTGTGCCGGACAAGTGGAAGGAGGGCGCGTCCAACACCACTGAGAGCGGCGGCAGGAAGATCAACGAGAACAAGCTGCTGTCCAAAAAAAAAAGGTACACACTGCCTCAGATGCTACACAATTGGTCCTTTCCCCTTGTTTTTGTGAAACGCTTTCCCACAACCTTTTCCCCTTCTGCACTCCTGTTCCTCTCAACTCCCTCTCTCTCTCTTCCCATCATTCCTTTCCCCTTCCAACCATGGCCTCCCCAAAATGGGTCCCTCGTACGAGCAGGTACACTCCGTACGCGTCATCAGCATCTTTCAAGTGCATTATTTGCAAGCAGCAGCTACACCAGGAGGGAAAATACTGCCACCTATGCTCTTATAAGAAAGGTGAGCATTTGCATGTTTCCTCTCAAATAGGTTACATGTCTGGATTACTACATCGATCAAAGAACCGGATCTATGTCACATACTATTGTCATTTTCAGGCGCCTTGGACTTCTGCTTACCGCCATGTCAACCATGGTGCATGTTTCGATAACAAAAGGGTTACAAATATCGATAGCGGGTCTGAGTATACTCCCTGTTTACAGGCTCCCCATTTCCTCTCTCCACTCCCTCCCCTCCCCACGCCCCCTCCACCCCCTTCACTCAGGTGTGTGTGCCATGTGTGGCAAGCAGGTACTTGATACCTCTATGTATAAACAATCAGCAGTTTGACTGAACTGCACTATTCTAGTACCGTACCAATAGTTACGTATGTTCTGTGCAGTCCATCCAGTCACTATGAAAGCGTACGGTAATTTTCCTTTTGCATGTGAAAAGCAATGTACAGGTCCTGATACAGTAGCCCGAGTGTACAGTGGAAGTCATGATACATCCATGACTCTTTATTAATCATTCTTACTCAACATGGACGAGGGACCAACGTTTACGGTAGGTCAAGACTAACAGAATAGCACACACACGCATAGTGTAGGCCTCGTGCCCTCGTGCCTCGTGTCAAGACTGCCATGAAGAGCACCCCAGCGAGACAATAGCAGAAGGTGACGATGGCAGCCACTGCCTGGCCTTTTGGAACATCCCTGTGAAGGTTTCGAAGCCAGCTGAAGTACAAGGCATGGTGCATGTTTCACGCCCACAGCGCAGTCACAGCGATGAAGAGCACCCCAGCTAGACCAAAGCAGAAGGCGACAATGGCGGCCACTGCCTGGCTTCTGGACTTGAACACGCCTGTGGAGGAGGAGAGTGCAGCAATGGCTCTTTCCATAAAGGGCGCTAGCATGAGAGCTCTGCAGGAGGGGTTGGAGGGATAGAGTCAGGGGACTTAGAACGTGACTTTACCATAAGCACATTTTGGGACGCCTTAAAACGCGACTCACCATAAGCACATTCTCGGACGTCTCAGCGTTTAACCACAAGTGCATCTTCTCCGGAAACCTTTCACTACCATTATTTAGCAAGTCATCCAATCAGCCATTGATTCTCTCACCCGCCTGCGTGCGCGCACGAGCTTGGTGACCTGACTGCCCGCCCTCACCACAGCAAGTCCCCCAGTCAGCTTCTTGTTTCTTAGCACTATCAATCGAATCACCAACTGCGCATCTCAATGCTTACCCGCTATCTTGCACGAGCTTGGTATCCTGACTGCCAGCCCACACCACAGAACTCGATTTTGACTTCCCCACGAGCCCTCGTGCCCTTACATCTCCCCAGCAGATTCGAGGATTCTTACCCGCCTGCTCGCACGAGCTTGGTGACCTGACTGCCCGCCCACACCACTGCAAAGACCTTGAGAAAGCTGTGAACGGACGGGGAGGGTGGATGAGGGTTCGGGAAAGAGGGGAAAAGAACACGGAGAGTTTCTTTTGTAAGCGCCTCAAATCAGACTGCACGGACGAGCTTGGTGACCTGACTGCCCGCCCACACCACTGCAAAGACCTTGAGGAAACTGTGGAAGGACGGGCGGTTGGGAAGGGGCGGGGGGAATAGGGTGAACTTTAGTGAGTGAGTCGACTGGGGGAGAAAGCCCACACCAGTGCAAATACCTTGAGAAAGCTGTGCAAGGATGGAGAGGGTAGGTCAGGACTGGGGGAAGAGGGGAAAGGGACGCGGGGAGAGGGACGAGGGGGGAGAGGGATGAGGGAAGAGGGACAAGGTGTTGAGAAAGGTGCTAAATCGTGGGTGGAAATGGCGAGTTGACTTTTGAGTCGACTCCAAAGAAAGGTTCTGAGTCGTGGGTGGAAATGGCGACTGACAAACTAGGTTTCTCATTCTCACATGTGTCACCTCATCCCCACTCTCACTGTCACACACAACCACAAAAACTGCCACTCCCCACCCCACCACTCCTCACACAACTACTTAAAATGCACACGTCCATGTTGTGTTGCTGACCCTCATCCCAACAGGCTCTTACACATGCCCCACCATGGACGTGAGGAACCCCACGCTACGCACTCCTAACAGCAGTCCCCTTGCTCCTCACTCTCCCCCAGCAAGAAACCTCACTACAAACTCCCTCGCACGCTCTCCCTCAAACCCATCCGCCCTCTACAGCCACCAAGCCTTCCCCCTAACCCACCCGGTTGGCTAGCCGGCAGGTCACTCACTTCTTTGCTGCTGCTGCTGCTGCTGCTGCAAAGCCCAGGCCTCACCGGGAAGGTGCCACGTAGAGAATCTTTTTGAGGGGACAACAGTTTCACATGCTATGTTGCTGGTCCTCATCAGTTGTTGGGCTGTTAGGCAGAGTACAAGGCACCTGGCTGCCTGGCTGGCAGAGCACTCACTTCTTTGCTGCTGCTGCAAAGCCCAGGCCTCGTGGGGAAGGTGCCACGTAGAGACTGCACACATGCGCACGTGGAATGACGCCATGCAGATATGTTTGCAGACATACGCACATGGGCACACACACACGCACACGCGCGCGCGAGCACACACACACACACACACACACACACACACACACACACACACACACACACACACACACACACACACATATGCGCATGCCCGCATGCAGAGAGAAGGGTGGGGGGGGGGGAAGGGGGGAGGGTATTGGGGGGTTAATAAAGGGTGGAGATCTGACAGAAAGAGAAAAAGAAAACGGCACATGGGGTTTGAGACTTCTTTGAATGCGAGATGATACGTGTTCGACTCACAATACGAAGAGGAAGGCGAAGATGTAGTAAACTGTATTGAAGAGGCCATAAGCGAGGACGCCAGCCACACCAAACGACTTCAGCTTTTCCAACACCCTGGGGACCGTTGATTGGTGGAGAGAGAGGAGAAAGCGCAAAATGGACGATCAGGATTGAGGGTCGCAAGCAAATCTGTTGCATTTGGTGACGAGATGACAATAACGAGGGTGACAAGACTGAGAATGAAGTGTTCTGGTTGAGAACAAGACAGCTTAAGATTTTCTCATCTCTCAAGGTTGTGAAGGTTCCGTGAAGCTTCTCACCAGGCGCGAACTCACTCGGCCGTCTTCGCCTTGTTCCGCTGCAGCATCTCCCCGATCGGCCCTAGAAACGAAGCTTCCGGAGTGCTTCCAACCGACGGGGAAGACGCTGGATGCGCAGAGGCGGCAGTAGCTTGCTTGCTGCTTCCGCTGATGCCGTCACTCGTAGCATTGCTATTGCCATTGGTAGCATCTGTACCACTATAGTCACTAGCACCGTTATTATCACCGTGAATACTAGCCAGAACGGCAGTTTTTTCACGCGTCATCAAACACTCGCCGGCAGCAGTGCCGCTGCAGGTCCATCCGCAAGTTCTCGTCAACACGGCTGTTCGTCGCAAACTCTGCGAAGACCTGAACGCCGAGCTCGAACCATGCGACGATTTCGCGACTCCAGCTAACGGTTTCGCGAGATTTTTGTCGCAGCGAAGCGCAGCCAGCGGTGGCCATGCTCGGCGCGGTATGTGCGCTGCGCATTGTGTCGCTGAAAGCGACTGCCGCGAAACCGCGTCCATGGCGGAAGGACAGTGGTTGACTGGTTGACTCGTTGACTTCTTTACAGAAGATGAGAGGTAGATGAACCTGAAAGGCGTTCTCACCGCCATGAGACACGGAAAGAGGCGCACCTGAAAGGCATTGTCACCGCCGTGCAGTAATATATGTTGATTGGTTTTGGGAGCGTGGAAAATACGCGATATGGTCAGTGTAGCTCTATCGAGAGTGGTTGCATAATTCATTCGGTATGTGCCCATGTTTAAGTTCAGCTGTTCGTTTCTTATTGAAATATTTCAGCTAAAACCAGCCTCAACAATTACTACGCACATTGAGGCATCTGCTATAAACATATCTATTGGTAAATAGCATACCCAAGTAACAAATGTTCCCCTACAGTTTGTTTCTCTTCCGTACACCGAGAGCCAAAGCCACACCCACCACCACAAACCCTAGAGGAACAATCAGCTGCCAATACCTTCCTATCCCCCCAGACCCCCCACCACCACCACTAGCACCACCATTAGCACCACCATTACCACCACCATTAGCACCACCACGCGCAGCGCTCCCAGGTGATCTACTAGATAAACCATTAGAAACACTGCGAGGCTCGCGAGAGCTATGAGATGAACCTGCTCTGGTGCCGTCTCTGCTGGTGCTGGGAGTGGCAGCATGGAGTGATGGTTGCTGCAGGAGGTGCTGCTGCTGGTGTGATTCCTGATCCCTCTTCCGCACGTACTTGCTGCATACGTCACACCGGTCCGTGCGGCTGCCACAGACGTCCTGCAGGGGACGGGGAGGAATATGTGGGATACATGGAAGTTTGTACAAACGGGTGCGTACTTGCTACTCACACCGGTCCGTGCGGCTGCCACAGACGTCCTGCAGGGGAGCGATGAGAAGGAGGGAGTGTATGAACACATACATACTCAGAGGGAGAGTGTGTATGAACATGCATGCATGAAGCACCTTCGTGAGGATCACTGAGGGGCGGTTCGTGACAAACGGGGTTGTTGACTTTTGAGGCAAATCTCTTTGTAGACTCTAATCTCCTCACAGTGTGAGAATGGAGGTCCATGGCCGTGACAGGGAGGTCGCAAAAGGGAGTTATGAAGCGCCTAACGCAGAAGGGAGTTATGAAGCGCCTAACACAATACAAGGCGGCTCCTTACAGTGTGAGAATGAAGGCCCATAGCAGTGACAGGGAGGTCGCAGGCAGAGCAGGGAGGGCAGGGGGCAGACCTGCAGAAGGCAGGACTTTAGAGTCGATGCTTACAGTGTGAGATTGGAAGTCCATGGCGGTTACAGGAAGGTCGCAGAAGGCACAGAGCAGGGGGCGCAGGGGGCATGCTGAAGCCTCGTGGTCTGGTAAAAGCCGACGCTCCATGGGCTCGCCACACAGGGAGCAGGGCGCCTGAGGGGTGGAGAGATGGGGGGTAGGAGATGGGGGCAGAGAAAGCTTGAAGGGGAGGATAAGAGGTGGTGCCTCGTGGTCTGGTAAAAGCCGCCGCTCCATGGGCTCGCCACACAAAGCATAGGGCGCCTGGGGGAGGGGAGCATGGGGGAAAAGGGGGAGAAAGTAAGAAGGGGCAATGCGTTTCAGGACCCTTAGGTTGCAACCTCGTGCTCTGCCAAGAGCCGACGCCCCATGGGCTCGCCACACAGGGAACAACAGGGCGCCTGAGGAAGGAGAGGTGATGGGGATGGTGGGAGGAATGGGGAAGATGGGTCAGGAGAAACATGGGTGCATGGCTGCAGTCACCTCCATCTCATTGTACCGTCCATTTGAGCCAAACATGTTGGTAGTTACAGGAGCGTGCCCGGCTGCCACGTGTTGGTGCATGGCTGCAGTGGACACCACCTCATTGCACGCGTCGCCGCGCACGATAAGTGTCGCTACCAACCCGCACCTGGCTGATTCTCACCACTTACAGGAGCGCGCACGGCTGCCACGTGTTGGTGCATGATTGGCAGTGGACACCACCTCATTGCACCCGTTGACTAGAACACAACGTGCCACTACCGTACTCACTGGGTTGTGCAAACAACCAAGTGCATGATCACTCACGGGAGCGTGCACGGCTGCCACGTGTTGGTCCATGGCAGCAGTGGCCACCATCTCATCGCACCCCATTGCACCGCACACCAAGTGTCACAACCCACTCGCATCTGGCTAAGTCCCAGCACTCACGGGAGCGTGCACGGCTGCCACGTGTTGGTCCATGGCGGCACTGGCCACCATCTCATCGCACCCCTCGCAGCGCACGAGGCGAGTCTCACAGTGCGCCACGTGCAGCGGAAGGTTGGCGATGGGGATGGGACGAGCGCTGCGGTGCGGAATGGAAGCGGCGGGATGGAAGGGACGGGAACGGGGTTGGCGACGGGGATGGGGCGAGCGGTGGGAGGGGAATGGAGGGAAGCACGCAACGTCACTGGAATGCAGAACCAGGCAGAGCGAGATTGTAAATGATGGCACGGACGACACAGACGACGCATACGGACGACACGGATGACGCCGATGAATAGCCGATTTCTAAGACGTCTATAATTAGATTGTAACGGACGACATGGACGAAAAGAACGAGTGCGACTAGAAGTTACCAGTTATCACATATCTCGAATTCTGCGGCAGCCATGGCTTCGACGGAAAGCGGCAATCAATGTCACGCCGAAAACGGTAAGATGCCGAAACAGTGACGTCGTTAGATAGCGCGCACCTGTTTACCCCTACTAAGAAACGCCGAGCTAAGATAACCTACTCGACTCGGAAAAGCGAGGAACCTTCCTAGCCCACTACATAGCCGTCCTTCTGTCTGTTAGCCGTCGGTCCGTGACGCGTTCCGAGGTCCGTGGAGCTGCAGCACAGCCCGAGGCGAGCAAGAGGAATTAGCATTGACACGTTGAGAAACTAAAAACTTGGATGCCATTATCACTGCACAAGTGGGACGTTTGGCGACGAAAAACGATTCGCAATGCACAGCTGGTAACATTGTTGACGGCACAAAGTTCGCCCAACTTCCTTTCAGAGTGATTGTACGATGTGGCTTCTACAATCTTGTTTCTGAGCATGAACTGCACTGCATGGCATGGCATGGCATGGCATGCCTCCCTCAACCAACCAGTAAGCTCCCATTGAAGCAAAACTATTTAGCCAGATTTTTTTTTTTTTTAAGAGACACAATTGCCTTGATTCCTTACTGTAGTTCCTTCCTCCATACTTTCAGAATGTCCCAAGCAGATGGCTCTTCCACACGATCCCTCTCCCCTCTTAGCCATCCTCCTCCCACCCTCTCTCCCACTTCCCCAGCCGAACCCCCTACAGAGTCACTCAGTTCCAGCTCATCGTACTCGACCTTCACACCCGCTGCCTCGGCCCGAGCCAGCACCTCCCGAGCCTCAGCTCCCATCCCCAGCCTGACGGTCCGGTGCAGCAGGCTGGTGTATATGCCGGCGTCTGCCACCCACCCTTCCTTCTCCATCCGGTCGACCAATCGCAACGCCACTCGAACCTCCTCCATCTTCCCCCCTATAAGCAGCCCCCTTACAAGGTCGGCAAGCACACCAGGGTCCACTGCAGGGGAGGATGCAGGGTAGGCTTCAGGGGTTGCAGAAGATGCAGCAGATGCACCACCACCAGCAGCACCAGCAGCACCAGGGTCACCAGCAGCACCAGCAGCGCCAACAGCACCACTTGCAGCAGAACCACTTGCTGCAGCACCAGCACCACTTGCTGCAGTGTCTAAGTCTGTTCGCGCATCTGCTGCCCTCGCTGGCCCTCTCTGAACACTTGCTGTTTCAACACCTGACGACTCAGCACGACCTGACTCAACTCCTGCTGAATAAGCACCTGCCACCGCCCCAGATCTGCCTTCCCCACTCACCACCTCCACCTCAACCGCCCTCTCCTCCACAACCTTCCCCTCCAACGCCCTCCCCTCAACCACCCTCTCCTCCAAAGCCGTTCCCTCCAAAGCCCTCTCCTCAACCACCCTCTCATCCAAAGCCTTCCCCTCCAAAGCCCTCCCCCACGCGTCCATTACTCCCACAGCCTCCTCCACCCCTGCCCCTGTCAGTCCGCCGCCCACCGATGCCACCGCATAACGCCAAGCAAAGCCATCCAGGGGGGCGTGCGACTCTAGCAGCTCCCACACCCTCAGGAGGACAGGGCTCAGCTCGTCACTGCTGCTGTCCTTGCCACTGCTACTGCTGGCTTGGGTGCTGCTGCTGGTGTCTGAAATGCTACTGTTGCTGCTGCTGCTGCTGCTGCTGCTGCTGTCGCTGCTGCTGAGGCTGTTGTTGTCACAGCTGTCATCTGAGACTCCCTGTGAGCTCATCCCGTCTCCTCTGCTGCTCGCACGAGTCAGTGCCGACAGCAAATCAAGCTGCTGCTGTGCAGCTGTCCTCCTCTGCTCCTCCTCGCTCACGCTCTCAACTGTCTCAGGAGGAATCTCCTCCCCACCCACACCACCGTAATCTCGACTCGCAACATGGCCAGGATTATGAACGCTAACGCGACTGGATTCCTGGCTGTTACTAAGGCCAGCAGCCCCAGTAGCTGTCCCGCGCATGGCAAGCAGCAGCTCGTCAGCAATGACTGTCTGTTTGCCCTTGAGGAGCGCGTCCACCACCCACCCATGCTGCCGCACCTGCAGCGCCCACCCCGCCCGCTGCATGTCCCGTGCCACCTGCCTCACGGCCTGCCACTGCCGGCACCGCACACACGCGCCCAGCATGGCTGAGAACGTGCGGCTGTTGGGCACCAGCGGCGGGTCCTCTCGTCTCCTCCCGAACCATACCCTCTCACCTGCACTCTCCTCCCCATCCTCCTCCCCGTCTCCCTCTCCATTCCCCCCCTCCTCCTCCTTGCTCTTCTGCTCCTCGCTCTCTCCTGTCACGCCAATGGCCTCCCCTTCACCATCTCCCCCCTCCAAAGCATCCTCTTCCCCCTCTTCATCCTCTCGTGCTCCCTCCTCCCTCCCCCCTTCCCCTGCTTCCCAAGCACCAACCACAGTTGCTCCCTCTTTTACTCCTCCCCCTCTCTGTAATTTCCCTTCTCGAATCAGCCTCCTCCTGCTCCTATTATTAGCCACCAGTCGCTGCATCCTAGCCTCCTGCCTCTCCTCCTTGCTCATCCACCTCTTCCTGCCCGTGATTATAGGCCTGCCGCCCGACCGGGCAGCGGCGTAAATTTCCTCCGCAGCAGCGAACCTGCCCGTGCGAGCAAATACGGTGATCATGATGTTGCAGGTGGTGATGTTGGGGGTGCACCCCTGCACCTGCATCTCCCGGAAAACCTGGGCCGCGTCGTCCAATCGGTTGCTTCGCTCGCACGCACGAATCAGGCCTGTCCACGTCACCACTGGCGGCTGCGCATCCTCTGCCCGAGAAATCTTCTCCACCTGCCCAATTTATCCAGACGACCCAAATTAGGGTGCAAACGAGGGGGCACAACTGTAGTTAGAAAATACAACAGGGTCTAATACACCGAGCAGGCTGTATACTGCCCTCCAATCTCTGTTCATGTCCAACTGAAAGTCCCAACACATCAAGGGATGGCTGGATGAACTCACCAGAGCAACAGCATCCCGCTATCTGCCAGTGGAGCAGAGAGTGCAAGCGAGGGAGTGGAACACCCCTGCGTTGCCCTCTCTGCAACTCCAACCTTCTCTTACGCGCCTGACTAGACTCACCAGAGTGACAGCATCCCGCCACCGCCCAGCGGAGCAGAGAGCACACGCAAGAGAGTAAAACACCCCTGCGTTGCCCTCCATTCCCCGCTCCTGCATCTCTCTCACTGCTGCCTCTGCCTCCTCCACCCTCCCTGCTGCCGCCAGTGCCCGCACCAGGTCTGTTAAGGGAGTGACGGGGGAAGAGAGGCGCAGAAGAGAGATGTTCTCAGGTGTCCGCATCACCAGGTCTGAGAGGCACCTTCAACGCATCTCCATCACTGCTACTACCAGCACCCAAGGTATGCATCGATTTTTTAGGCGATTAGAAACGGAGATGTTTTTAGGTGTCTGCATCACCAGGTCTTAGAGGTATCGTCAACGCATCTCCACCACTGCTGCTGCCACCAGCAAAGGTATGAATCGACTCGCCACCAAAGTTTGGGTGGTAAGTCTGACAACTACCTCGGTAGGTTTAGAACATAATCCAGACGATTACCTCGGTATGTGTGGGTGGTCGGGGGGAAGCCAGCCGCCTCCATATCAGCGAGCAGGTGCAGTGCGAGGTGCGCTTGACTGCACATAGACAGGGCTTGGATGGCCAGCCCAAAAGTCCCTTGTAGGTTTTTTGAAAACTAGGCCCAACGACTTACCTCGGTAGGTGTGGGTGGTCGGAGGGAAGCCAGCCGCCTCCATATCAGCGAGCAGGTGCAGGGCGAGGTGGGTTTGACTGCAGAGAGACAGGGCTTGGATGGCCAAACCGAAGGTGGCTGCGTCGGGGGCTACCCCCTCGCTGCGCATCTGCTGCAGCACCCACTGCACGCCCTTCCACTGCCTCTTGGTGCCACACGCATTCAGGACCTGAGGGGATGTGGAGAGGCGAGGGGAGGGGGGATGGGGAATGGCTGAGGAGGATGCACAGGCTTGTGAGCTTTCTCAAATTGGACATAATTGCGCAGCAAAAACGAAATCAAACCTGTAACTATTTAGGACTGAAAGGAGAAGGATATCCGCTGTCAGACACCTGGAGTGGAGTGGAGTCGACCAACTGCTGTCAGCTGCACCCACGTGATACAAGTAGTGTTTTGAGACGTCTCAAAATGAAACTACTTTAAGACTGAAAGAAGAAGGATATCAGCTGTCAGACACCTGGAGAGGAGTGGAGTCGACCAACTGCTGTCAGCTGCACCCACATTAGGGGGGAGTGGGTGCAAGCAAGACAGTACAATGGGTGGTGGTGGGTGAGGAAAGGCTCGGATTATGCGGGGCTCATGGGGGGCTCAGGGGGGGCTCAGGGGGGTAAGTCGGTACCTACTACCTACAAGGGGTTGGGGATGAGGCACATGAGGGGCAGCAGCAGCACTCACCGCGTTGTACACCACCACGTCTGACGCCAGCCAGCTGCTGCTGCCCGCTGCACCCGACTTGAAGGGAGTGGGTGCAAGAGGGTAGGGGGTACCTACTAGGGGCGGGCACATGAGGGGCAGCAGCAGCACTCACCGCGTTGTACACCACCACGTCTGACGCCAGCCAGCTGCTGCTGCCCGCTGCACCCGACTTGAAGGGAGTGGGTGCAAGAGGGTAGGGGGTACCTACTAGGGGCGGGCACATGAGGGGCAGCAGCAGCACTCACCGCGTTGTACACCACCACGTCTGACGCCAGCCAGCTGCTGCTGCCCGCTGCACCCGACTTGAAGGGAGTGGGTGCAAGAGGGTAGGGGGTACCTACTAGGGGCGGGCACATGAGGGGCAGCAGCAGCACTCACCGCGTTGTACACCACCACGTCTGACGCCAGCCAGCTGCTGCTGCCCGCTGCACCCGACTTGAAGGGAGTGGGTGCAAGAGGGTAGGGGGTACCTACTAGGGGCGGGCACATGAGGGGCAGCAGCAGCACTCACCGCGTTGTACACCACCACGTCTGACGCCAGCCAGCTGCTGCTGCCCGCTGCACCCGACTTGAAGGGAGTGGGTGCAAGAGGGTAGGGGGTACCTACTAGGGGCGGGCACATGAGGGGCAGCAGCAGCACTCACCGCGTTGTACACCACCACGTCTGACGCCAGCCAGCTGCTGCTGCCCGCTGCACCCGACTTGAAGGGAGTGGGTGCAAGAGGGTAGGGGGTACCTACTAGGGGCGGGCACATGAGGGGCAGCAGCAGCACTCACCGCGTTGTACACCACCACGTCTGACGCCAGCCAGCTGCTGCTGCCCGCTGCACCCGACTTGAAGGGAGTGGGTGCAAGAGGGTAGGGGGTACCTACTAGGGGCGGGCACATGAGGGGCAGCAGCAGCACTCACCGCGTTGTACACCACCACGTCTGACGCCAGCCAGCTGCTGCTGCCCGCTGCACCCGACTTGAAGGGAGTGGGTGCAAGAGGGTAGGGGGTACCTACTAGGGGCGGGCACATGAGGGGCAGCAGCAGCACTCACCGCGTTGTACACCACCACGTCTGACGCCAGCCAGCTGCTGCTGCCCGCTGCACCCGACTTGAAGGGAGTGGGTGCAAGAGGGTAGGGGGTACCTACTAGGGGCGGGCACATGAGGGGCAGCAGCAGCACTCACCGCGTTGTACACCACCACGTCTGACGCCAGCCAGCTGCTGCTGCCCGCTGCACCCGACTTGAAGGGAGTGGGTGCAAGAGGGTAGGGGGTACCTACTAGGGGCGGGCACATGAGGGGCAGCAGCAGCACTCACCGCGTTGTACACCACCACGTCTGACGCCAGCCAGCTGCTGCTGCCCGCTGCACCCGACTTGAAGGGAGTGGGTGCAAGAGGGTAGGGGGTACCTACTAGGGGCGGGCACATGAGGGGCAGCAGCAGCACTCACCGCGTTGTACACCACCACGTCTGACGCCAGCCAGCTGCTGCTGCCCGCTGCACCCGACTTGAAGGGAGTGGGTGCAAGAGGGTAGGGGGTACCTACTAGGGGCGGGCACATGAGGGGCAGCAGCAGCACTCACCGCGTTGTACACCACCACGTCTGACGCCAGCCAGCTGCTGCTGCCCGCTGCACCCGACTTGAAGGGAGTGGGTGCAAGAGGGTAGGGGGTACCTACTAGGGGCGGGCACATGAGGGGCAGCAGCAGCACTCACCGCGTTGTACACCACCACGTCTGACGCCAGCCAGCTGCTGCTGCCCGCTGCACCCGACTTGAAGGGAGTGGGTGCAAGAGGGTAGGGGGTACCTACTAGGGGCGGGCACATGAGGGGCAGCAGCAGCACTCACCGCGTTGTACACCACCACGTCTGACGCCAGCCAGCTGCTGCTGCCCGCTGCACCCGACTTGAAGGGAGTGGGTGCAAGAGGGTAGGGGGTACCTACTAGGGGCGGGCACATGAGGGGCAGCAGCAGCACTCACCGCGTTGTACACCACCACGTCTGACGCCAGCCAGCTGCTGCTGCCCGCTGCACCCGACTTGAAGGGAGTGGGTGCAAGAGGGTAGGGGGTACCTACTAGGGGCGGGCACATGAGGGGCAGCAGCAGCACTCACCGCGTTGTACACCACCACGTCTGACGCCAGCCAGCTGCTGCTGCCCGCTGCACCCGACTTGAAGGGAGTGGGTGCAAGAGGGTAGGGGGTACCTACTAGGGGCGGGCGCATGAGGGGCAGCAGCAGCACTCACCGCGTTGTACACCACCACGTCTGACGCCAGCCAGCTGCTGCTGCCCGCTGCACCCGACTTGAAGGGAGTGGGTGCAAGAGGGTAGGGGGTACCTACTAGGGGCGGGCACATGAGGGGCAGCAGCAGCACTCACCGCGTTGTACACCACCACGTCTGACGCCAGCCAGCTGCTGCTGCCCGCTGCACCCGACTTGAAGGGAGTGGGTGCAAGAGGGTAGGGGGTACCTACTAGGGGCGGGCACATGAGGGGCAGCAGCAGCACTCACCGCGTTGTACACCACCACGTCTGACGCCAGCCAGCTGCTGCTGCCCGCTGCACCCGACTTGAAGGGAGTGGGTGCAAGAGGGTAGGGGGTACCTACTAGGGGCGGGCACATGAGGGGCAGCAGCAGCACTCACCGCGTTGTACACCACCACGTCTGACGCCAGCCAGCTGCTGCTGCCCGCTGCACCCGACTTGAAGGGAGTGGGTGCAAGAGGGTAGGGGGTACCTACTAGGGGCGGGCACATGAGGGGCAGCAGCAGCACTCACCGCGTTGTACACCACCACGTCTGACGCCAGCCAGCTGCTGCTGCCCGCTGCACCCGACTTGAAGGGAGTGGGTGCAAGAGGGTAGGGGGTACCTACTAGGGGCGGGCACATGAGGGGCAGCAGCAGCACTCACCGCGTTGTACACCACCACGTCTGACGCCAGCCAGCTGCTGCTGCCCGCTGCACCCGACTTGAAGGGAGTGGGTGCAAGAGGGTAGGGGGTACCTACTAGGGGCGGGCACATGAGGGGCAGCAGCAGCACTCACCGCGTTGTACACCACCACGTCTGACGCCAGCCAGCTGCTGCTGCCCGCTGCACCCGACTTGAAGGGAGTGGGTGCAAGAGGGTAGGGGGTACCTACTAGGGGCGGGCACATGAGGGGCAGCAGCAGCACTCACCGCGTTGTACACCACCACGTCTGACGCCAGCCAGCTGCTGCTGCCCGCTGCACCCGACTTGAAGGGAGTGGGTGCAAGAGGGTAGGGGGTACCTACTAGGGGCGGGCACATGAGGGGCAGCAGCAGCACTCACCGCGTTGTACACCACCACGTCTGACGCCAGCCAGCTGCTGCTGCCCGCTGCACCCGACTTGAAGGGAGTGGGTGCAAGAGGGTAGGGGGTACCTACTAGGGGCGGGCACATGAGGGGCAGCAGCAGCACTCACCGCGTTGTACACCACCACGTCTGACGCCAGCCAGCTGCTGCTGCCCGCTGCACCCGACTTGAAGGGAGTGGGTGCAAGAGGGTAGGGGGTACCTACTAGGGGCGGGCACATGAGGGGCAGCAGCAGCACTCACCGCGTTGTACACCACCACGTCTGACGCCAGCCAGCTGCTGCTGCCCGCTGCACCCGACTTGAAGGGAGTGGGTGCAAGAGGGTAGGGGGTACCTACTAGGGGCGGGCACATGAGGGGCAGCAGCAGCACTCACCGCGTTGTACACCACCACGTCTGACGCCAGCCAGCTGCCGCCTGCTGCACCCGACTTGGTGAGTGCGTGCAAGACACTACTAAGGGCGGTGAGTGAAGGAATGGCTCATGAGGGGCTCACGAGGGGCAGCAGCAGCACTCACAGCGTTGTACACCACCACGTCTGGAGCCAGCCAGCTGCTGCTGCCCGCTGCACCCGACTTGGAGCTAATGCTGCTGCTGCTGCTGATCCCACTGGCAGCACCAGAGCCAGCGCCAGCGCCAGCGCTTCCTCTGCCATTGGTTTCAAGTGGTGCAGTGCGGTTGGTGCGGGTGGGGCCCTCCCTGAGCTCCTGCATCAGCTGCACTGCTCCTCACATGGGGGTGAGGGGGAGGAGAGGGACCGGCAGCCACGGGTCCAGGTAAGCGTTTTGTTCGGCCATGCTTGGAACAGAGGAGAGACAGCACAGCACTATTGTGAACTTGTGAAGTGAAGTGAAGTGAAGTGAAATGAAGTGAAGTGAAATGAAGTGAAGTGAAGTGAAGTGAAGTGAAGTGAAGTGAAGTGAAGTGAAGTGAAGTGAAATGAAGTGAAGTGAAGTGAAGTGAAATGAAGTGAAGTGAAGTGAAGTGAAGTGAAGTGAAGTGAAGTGAAATGAAGTGAAGTGAAGTGAAGTGAAATGAAGTGAAGTGAAGTGAAGTGAAGTGAAGTGAAGTGAAGTGAAGTGAAGTGAAATGAAGTGAAGTGAAGTGAAGCGAAGTGAAATGAAGTGAAGTGAAGTGAAGTGAAGTGAAGTGAAGTGAAGTGAAGTGAAATGAAGTGAAGTGAAATGAAGTGAAGTGAAGTGAAGTGAAATGAAGTGAAGTGCCATTGTTTAACAGGAAAGGAGCAATACGAAGGGAAGGCTGGAAGCAGAGAACAATGGTCAGCACTACTTTCAACCGAACATAGCTGGAGGGTTCAAGGTTTCGGTTATAGGAGACTGCAGTCACAGCAAGAGGCGAGTGGCACTGCAGTTCCCCAAGCCCATCCTCTCCCCACCCACCTGCAGCAGCTCCTGCAGATACCCCGCCCTTCCCAGCGCCACTGCTGCTGCTCTGTATGCTGGGAGGTCAGGCCACGTGGAGGGCTGCGACTGGTGGAGAGCAGCGAGGGAGAGGAGGGCGGTGGATGGCACAGCATGGATAGGAAGAGCAGTGGGAGGGTATGGGGGTAGAGATGAGAAGTGGGGAGGATGGAAATGGAAAATGGATCTCAAGGAGGCATGGGCAGAAAGGGAAGTACGAGAGTGATCAGGGGAGCGACGGAGCGAAGCTGAGGGAAAGGGGATAGGAGCGAGAAGGTGACTTTTGAGTCGACTTGAAAGGGAATAGGACGGAGAACGTGCGGGGGGCATGACAATCAAGCAGCCTGGAAGCACGCACCATCATTAGTCGCATGGCTTGCAGCACAGCACAGCACAGCACAGCACAGCACAGCACAGCACAGCACAGCACAGCACAGCACAGCACAGCACAGCACAGCACAGCGCCGCAAAGCACCGCACGCACATCACCGTACAGCACGTACCATCATGAGTCGCATGGCTTGCAGCACCGCATCGGGGTAGCGCCAGCCCAGTGCAGCGATGAGCGACATGAGCACCTTTCTGCAGAGCACATCACCACACAGCACCGGGACGCACCGCACATCACCGCGCAGCACCTACCATCATGAGTCGCATGGCTTGCAGCACCGCATCGGGGTAGCGCCAGCCCAGTGCAGCGATGAGTGTTGTGAGCACCTTTCTGACAGGAACGTAGTGTGGTGTGGAGGGGACAAACGCAGGGGAGGCTTTTGAGACGTCTCAAAAGTCGCCAGCCCAGTGCAGCGATGAGTGTTGTGAGCACCTTTCTGACAGGAACGTAGTGTGGAGGGGACAAACGCAGGGGAGAAAGTGGACAGGAGAAGGGGTAGGTAGGTGATTGGAGTCAAGATAACTAGAGTCTAGAAACAAACGATATGGCTGTGGTGGAAGGAAAGGGTGGAAGGAAAGGGTGGAAGAAGAACGAGCAACAAAAACACGGCCAGGGAAGGGGAACCTGGGGCGACCTGTCAGCTTTACTGGTCTCTCCGGCATTAGTCTGACCTGTCGACGCGGGATTGGTCACGGCGAGCGGCCCAGTGCACGAGCAGCAGCGCCCTGCGCCAGCTGCCTCTACTGGCGAGCAGCCGTGCTGCCAGCGCCACACGGCGGGGGGAGAGGCGCACCCCCGCGCTGCGCACTGCTCTGGACACGTGGCGCGGGGAGGCGGTCAGCGGAGTGCTCTCCAGCTTGGCATAGGGGGTCGAGGGGTTAGTGGGTTTGGGGAGGAAAGGGACAGGGAGGGAAGGAGGATAGGTGGACAAGAAGCGGGGAACGGGGGAGAGAGATTGGAACGTACTAGTAAAAGGAAAAATCCCCTCCTTCCTCATTCCTGACACCCTCACTCCTGGCGTCCTCACCCCTGGCGGCGCCTCACCTCTCCACCAGTCGCTGCAACACTTGCTCTTCGTCAACCCCTGGCCCTTCCCTCGCCTCCCCCTCCACCTCGAACGCCTCCGTGTCATACGCATCATCAGCATTCCATTCATTGTGGTCCACGTGGCGATACTTCGTCCAACCAATTTGCCTGGACACCTGATGTGTGAATTGAAATTGGCAAGGGTGAAGGAGGATCAGGAGACCCGCTGGGGAAGAGAAAAAGGAGATACGCGACTGAAAATGATCAAACAACGTTGTGCATAACAAATGGCACGAAAAGGGTTTGAAGAATTCGGGGGTTTACGCGCAAACAAATGAGAGAAATGGAAAGCGATGTCCTGGAGCTACATAACGGCGGCTTCTAAAATTACGTGGAATAATCTGCGGGACTCACTCCTTTCGCTGGTTTTGCGCAGCATCTTCCTCGAAACTCCTTAATCTGACCCTGCTGAGAGTTAAATCCAGTCCGATCCCCGCTGGCCGCTACCACTGAACCACTCCTCGTGACGCCGCTCTTCCCCTTATGCAAAATTCCAACCGGAACAATGGCCCCCACGCGGGCGATTCTGGATCGACTCGTCACATTAGACAATGTAGAGTTGCTGCTGATAGCGCCTCCTGCTGCTCTTGTGAACTCAGAGCATTCAGATGATAGATGAAGTGTGCTGCAGGCACTCGGTTTCTGGGGAGTGCTACAAAGAGGGATCATGGCGAGACGCGCAACAGCGAGAAGCAACCAACGGCCACCAAAAAGCTGCTTCCAGCTGTTCACAGCACCTATTTGATCAGAAAGCTAAGTTTACATGACGTGGTTTGTCAGGCTTTGCCATACGAACCGTACCCAACCATGTTTTTCGTATGACCAACCTAGATGAACCACGACTGAATTCTCATTCACGGCCACAAACAGCGAAAGAACGTGGTCCAATCTGAATGCTGAAAAGAGAATGGTGCTAGTTGTTTCGATACGGTAATCGATACTGTCTTCTGGTTGGACGACAAGCGTCACCCCAAATTGTACTGTGACGGAGAAGATTTTTGGTCTGGTTTCAGCAAGAACAAACGGTGCATGTGACCAGTGCTGACCTGTCGTCAGATGCCCCAATCAGGTCCCACCCTTGGGAGCGGATTGAGGGTTTCAGGCATGTGGGTGACGGACCGACACGCAGATCTGCCACATTTCAAGGCGTTTACACGGCGAATAGGCCTTCGCAAAAACGCGCCGCGAGTCCCCCCTTCCAGCATGGCGGCGGCCTGATTTCTCCTCTGATGCGCTGGCAGGCAAGCCAGGTGGCACTGGCCGGGTTTGACTCGGCAAAAGTGGCCAAAGCAGGAGATATCGAGGGCGCCGAAGCACTTCCCTAAGTCACAAGTGGTTCGGTAACAGAGACGAACCTGGCTCAGTTTCTGTCGCGCTTCGCATTTTTCTCAAAGGTTGTCCCTCTGAATGTGTAAAAGCCTTCCTCGAGCCTCCTTGCAGCCTCATTTCTCAACTCATTTCTAGCCACCGAATTTCCGCGCTAGCAGCGGAAGTCTGTCCAGTCCAACTTCTAGGCCTCTCCACTCTGCTAGCGTAGGAGCCTTGGTGAAATCTGGGACCTCCCCAACCCAGCCAGCTTGCTTCCTCTGCATCTCTCCTTGTCACTTTTTGCATCTGGCATTTGCCGCCAGAAGCCAAGCCAGCCGCCACTCACCAACCTCGGGTTCTCAGAACAGACTTGGTTCAGCCAAGCACGCAAGCACAAATCTGAAACTTCTTGCGTTCAATCCAACTCTTATCGTTTCGTATCGAAAAACTTGCTGCATCTAGTCTCTCACCGTGTCGTCAAACAAGCGCTTTCACAAATCCGTTGTCTAGATCTGACCATTTCTTCTTCCTATGGAGGCTCTTCACTCTTGTCCCACGGCGTCAGGCGTCTCGTCGCTAAGCCTGACACAATCATGCGGCACCGCCAGACTATTCTCCTCTAACTCCACGCAACCACTCCGGCTCACGCCGAAAGTTCCCGTCGTTGTTTCTTCCTCCTCTTTCACGAACCGGTATTCCGGAGCGTCAGATTCGTCGCACCGCGGCTGTGCACAGAGCATCCGGGCGAATGGCATCGGTCCGAACAGCTCCAACCCCCCAGCGTGCGAGTTCGGGCCGTGGGATTCGCGAATCGGCGCATCAGCTGTTCCCGACCCGTCCGTCTCTTTCGTCGAAGAATCCTTCGAGGCTGACCTGGAGGAATTGTCGGAGTCGGATAACATCAAGGCTGACGATCTCGTTAACGGAGCTCTGTCAACGTCAGTCAACGCAGGGGACCATGCGGCTATTGAGTACATGTCGGAGGAGGAAGTGGAAGACGGAAGCGCAACGGTGCCGGAGTTGACGGAGATGGAGGATGCGGGCGTGGGGAGCTGGGAGCACCGAATGAAAGCCGTGGAGAGCTTGGCGGAGGGCCTTATGCCGCCGTGGGAGCAGGAGGGTTTGATGAAGGACGTTTCGGGGTTGAGTGTTGACGCGCTGGTATCTGCCGATGCGGTGTACAACAAAGAGCTAAGGTGCGCGTTCGCTGTTCGTAGCCTTCGTGACGAATAAGTAATGTCCTCGCTGTGTCCTCTCTTCCGTCGTCGTATGACGTTGACAAGTTTCTGATAGTCGATCTCCGGCATAAGCTTCTTCCTTGCGTCTCACTGGGTGTGTCCCTTCTGTCCCTTTTGTGCTTCTGACCCTCTGACCCTTCTCCCTGCGTCGCGTCCGCTGTCTCGCAGCTGGTTGGCGTTCAACTGGCGCGTGCTCTACCAGGCGTTGGACAAGCGCACGCCGCTCATGGAGGTAACACGAATCGTTCTGGGTTTTTGTTTTTTTTTGTTTTTTGTTTTTCTTCTTTTTTTTTTCCCTTTTTTTCCTCGCCTTCGCGCCCGGCTAGACTAGGTCAGCTTTAGCGCTATAGCTGCTATTTTTCACAACACTCGGACAGCATTTCGTCTGCCTCCCTGGCTGCTTTTTCCATCCCCACCTGTTTGCTTCTCTTCGGTTTCCCCTCCCCAGCGCCGCCGATATTTGGCCATCGCAGCGCTCCATTTGGACGAGTTAAACCCGTTTTTCTCTGATTCGTATGTTATTCTTTTCTTACCCCGATCTATATTTCCTTCCACGATCCCGTCCTTCGCCAGCGCCTTCGCTTCTTGGCCATCACGGCGCGCAATTTGGACGAGTTCTTCTGCAAGCGCGTGGGCGCGTTGAAGCGGCAGCAGGCGGTGGGCATGGCGAACCTCATCGGCCACCGCAGCAGCTGGCTCTGGACGCCCAGCCAATCGCTGAAAATCGTCGCCAGGTGAGAAGCGCGCCGATTGCTGCCAGTGGAGAAATGCAGCGCGGAACCATAGGTTCGATACCTTCAGCGTCCATGAATGCGCCAATCACTCAAGATTGTAACCTTGCGCGTTTTGAGCCCGTGGATGGCGGAAGGGTTAAAATCTTGCATCGAGTTGAAACCACCTCGCACGCTGTCACGCGAATCTTCCATAGGTCAGATATCGCTCAGTATTCAAAATTTTCGGCCAAGTCGCGAATCTAAGCACGCCAAAACCTTTCCAAAGGAAAGTCTGCCTTATTTTTCGTTCATCAGTTAATGACGATAGCTAGCACTCGGAAGTGACGTTCAAACGGCTGCCACTAAGAAGCGAAGCTGCAATTTCTGTTATCCTGACGGTGCGCTTCCAGGATTCATCCAGATATCTCACAAATTTCATTATGTATCCATCCAAAGTTAGGCGGTTTCTTGCCAACTTGCGCTAATCTTTCTTGTGCTTGTCACGTGCTGCGATTGTGTTATGTCGCCTGGTGTGGTATGCGTGTTGTGCTGGTTGGTGTGGCGCGTGTGGCGCGTGTGGTGGCGTGCTTGGTGGGGTGCAGGGAGGTGGAGCAGTTTGTGCAGATGCAGCTGCAGTGCCTGCAGCAGGACCTGCTGCCGTCGCTGCGCAAGCACGGCATCAGCATCGTGCATTGGGACGAGCTCGAGTCGCCGGCCAAGGAAAAGGTGAGCCAGGCAGGCCCATCAGTATCCTGCATTATCTGCTCATCGTCCATCTGGCTCCCGTCCGCGCCTTCCCACTCCCACCTCACTTTGCCCTTTCTCCTCCTACCGTGCCCTGTTTTTTGTCTTCCTTCTATTCCTCCTGTGTCTCCCTGCGTTCCTGTCATAAGCTGCGGGCATACTACAGGGCGTGGCTGGGGCCTATTATTACACCGTTGCCATCTCACTGTGCCGTCGATGTGCCTCACTCCTGTGTTCCCCTCGTTCCCCCATCTCCCACCATCAGCTGCGCGCGTACTACAGGGCGTGGCTGGAGCCCATTATTACACCGTTGGCAGTGGATCCCGGCCATCCCTTCCCCTTCATTGGCAACATGTCCCTCGGCATTGCTGTGGTACGTCTTCCGTCCGTTCCCGCATACCACGTGGTGTCATTTAAGTCGACTCAAAAGTCGCCTTAGAATTGATAAAATTTCACCCGTTCCCCTTCGTCGGCAACATGTCTCTTGGCATGGCAACATGACTTCCAAACCAACCCCTCCAAGCCTTACCCCCCCCCCCCCAAGCTCTTAACCCTGTGCCCTTCCACTCAACCCCCGCCAGTCCTCAACCTCCGCCCCTCCACTCAGTTCCTCTTCCTTTCACTCAACTCCCGCCCTTCCTCAACCCCTGCTCCTCCCAATCCTCTCCCCTCCACTCAAACCCCGCAATTCCTCAACCCCCGCCCCTCTGCTCAACCTCCACCTCATCCAAATTGTGCTGGACAGGCGCTGCGTGACCCATTGGACGACGACCACGAGCTTGCCATCAGAACCCCGCTCTCCTCTGCCACTCTTGTAAACCCCTTGCTCCTTCCACTCAGCTCAACCCTCCTCGCTTCCCCACCCGTCCTCCCCATTGCTATCGTGCCCTGCAGGCGCTAAGGGATCCAGTGGACGACGACCACGAGTTTGCCATTGTGTCCGTGCCCAACAGGTGCAACCGCTGGCACCCACTCGTGCGCCCAAATGAGGAGTGAGTCCCTGCCTGCTGTGCTGTGTCGCCTACTGTGTTGTGTCATCCGCCCCCCCCCCCCCCCCCCCCCCCCGTAAATTGTGCCTCTGGAATCCCAAATGAGCTGCGACGCGTTTGCCATTGTGTCGGTGCCCAACACGTGGAACCGCTGGCACCCACTCGTGCGCCCAAATGAGGAGTGAGTCCCTGCCTGCTGTGCTGTGTCGCCTACTGTGTTGTGTCGTCCGCCCCCCCCCCCCCCCCCCCTCCCGTAAATTGTGCCTCTGGAATCCCAAATGAGCTGCGACGCGTTTGCCATTGTGTCCGTGCCCAACACGTGCAACCTCTGGCACCCACTCGTACGTCCGAACGAGGAGTGAGTCCCTGGCCGCTGCGTCCTTCCCCATATAGTGCTTCTGGAATCCCAGATGAACTGAGACGAGTCTTGGGGCTCCTCAAGAAGCTTCCTGAGCGAATATTCAGTACCTGCCTGCTATATCATTCTCTTTCTCCTCCTGTATGTGCGTGCGTGCGTGCGTGCGTGCGTGTGTTTGGGCGTGCGTGCATGCGTGTGTGTGTACGTGCAGGGGCAGCAACGAGGAGCGCAACACGTTCATCTCAGTGGAGGAAATCATCAAGGCCAACCTTAGATCGCTGTTCGGAGGCATGGAGGTGAGAAAAATGCACTGCAGTGTTAACGCTCAACAATGTATGACTGGTCAAGTGTGATACACGAGCTGAGACATTTAAGGAACATTATTCTGACACGGGTGATGTGTTACACGCATGCGTAACACATCACATGCCAGGTGACACATGCCAAAGCAGCGTTTCACACAGCAGGCACCCCACCCCACCCCACCCCACCCCGTGGATCCTTTCTCTTCCTGCAGATCACTTCCGCACATTTCTTCCGGCACGCGCAATGCGGACGTGGAGCGCAATGAGGTTGCAGGGTGTCTTTGAGAATTCTAAAAAACGCGCAATGCGGACAGGGAGCGCAATGAGTCGACTAAAAAAAGGAGGACCTCCTGGACATGATCACCAGCGAGATGCGCCCATGCACATCCCATCCTCATTCCCACCTTCCCTCCTCTCCGTTTTCTTCTTAACACTGTCGCCCCGTCTCCTCTGTCCGCCCTCCTCCCTCCTCCCTCCTCCCTCCTCCCTTCTCCCTCCTCCGTGCCCTCTCCTCCCTGCGCCCCGCAGATCACGTCTGCGCACTTTTTCCGAGTAACACGCAATGCGGATGTGGAACGCAACGAGGATGAGGCGGAGGATCTACTCGAGATGATTACGGACGAGATGCGCGAGCGCAAGTTCGCCCCATTCGTGCGCCTGGAGGTGGACTGCGAGATGCCTGAGGAGGTGCTGCTGAAGCTCTCCCAGGAGCTGGGGCTCGACTCTCACGATGATGTGTACCGCCTGTGCGGCCCGCTCGGCCTGGGAGGTGGGTGTCATAAAGCTGCGTCTCAAGGGTGGGAATGGAGGTGGGGATGGGGTGGGATTTAGAAGTTGCCCTTTGTGCGCCTCGAGGTGGACTGCGAGATTCCCGAGGAGGTGCTGCTGAAGCTGTCGCAGAAACTCCCACGAAGAGCCTTAGGAGGTTCCGTTCTGACCCCCTCAACCGTTGCACTCTCTCTCCTCTTCCCCCCCCACCCCCGCCCCCTCCTCCGTTTCTCCTCCCTCTCTTGGTGTCCCTCGTTCCCCCCCACCAGAGATAGACACCATACCTGTGAATCTGGACGAGAACGCCAAGAGGGAGATCGTTTTCTCCTCCTGAATCCGTTCTGATCCTCATCCTCACAATCCTTGTACTCTTTCGCTTCCCCACCCCGCCTCCCTACCCGTGTCCCTCGTTCCCCCCCACCAGAGATCGACACCATACCTGTGAATCTGGACGAGAACGCCAAGAGGGAGATCGTCTTCTCCTCCTGGGCGCCTCAGACCCACCCACGCCTCAAAGGGGTCAGTCCGCTTGCCTGCCCTCTCTCGTCTGCTTGCCTGGGCTCTCTCCTGCTTGCCTGCCCCCACTCTTGCCTGCCTCCTCTCCTTCAGCTGGCTTACCCTCTCGTTTTTCCATCCCCTCCTCTCTCGTCACTTGCTCTCCTGTTCTTTTGCCTCCTCATCCCTTTCTCCTCAAACAATATCCCCTCTTCTTCAAACCAACAGCCTTTAAAACCTCTTCAGCAGCTATACGTATGTGCCACCAAGATCCTACCATCTCCCCGTAGAGGACGAGGTGACTTTTGAGTCGACTCAAAAGTCACCTCGTTATGTGCCACCAAGATCCTACCATCTCCCCGTAGAGGACGTTCCATCGCTCCCTGCTGCGCCCTCTACTCCTCACGTCCTCCTCTTCTCCTCCCCTCCTCCCTTTTTCCCCACCCCAGGCGGACATATTCGACACCATACGGCACGGGAACGTGTTGGTGCATCACCCCTACCACAGCTTTGGCACCTAAGGGCCGTACTCATTCCCATTGTGCCTCCCCTCCTCCTCTCCTCCTCCTCTCCTCCACTCCCTCTTTCCAGGCGGACATATTTGACACTATAAGGCACGGGGACATGCTGGTGCATCACCCCTACCACAGCTTCGGCATGAAAGAGCAGTTTTTCATTCCCATTGTGCTCCACTGCGCCTCCCTTTCCTTCTCTCCCGCCTTTCCTTCCCTCCCCCCACCCCAGGCGGACATATTCGACACCATAAGGCACGGGGACGTGTTGGTGCATCACCCCTACCACAGCTTCGGCACCTCCACACAGCACTTTGTCGAGGCTGCTGCTCGAGACCCCAAGGTAGGCCCCTTCTTGCTCTACTTCTTTGATGCGCATCGCATAGACGTGCGGCGTGCCTCTTATCTTAGTCCCCTTACCACAGCTTCGGCACCTCCACACAGCACTTTGTCGAGGCTGCTGCTCGTGACCCCAAGGTAGGCACAGCACCCTCCCTCTCATCCAGCTCTCCCCTTGTAGGGCTCTCGTCTCATTGCTCTCACCCAATCTATCTCAACCCAGTGCTCACCTAGGCGTTTTATTCTGTTCCTGTGTACCCGCATGCACTATACGTGCAAGCCATCACGGCCACTCTCTACCGCACGTCAGCAGACAGCCCCGTGATCTCAGCACTCTTCAACGCGCCTGTCCGCCATGTGCCTATCCCTGTATGCCCGTCCCAGGCATTCATTCCCCTGTGCAGGTGCAAGCCATCAAAGCTACTCTCTACCGCACGTCAGCAGACAGCCCCGTGATCTCAGCACTCATCAAGGCAGCCGAGTACGGCAAGCAGGTGGCCGTGCTGGTGGAGCTCAAGGCTCATCAAGGCCCCTGTTTCCTTCTTGCCTGCGCATACTCCATACTCGCCCTGGTGCAGGTGACTTTTGAGGCGCCTAAAAAAATGGCCGTGCTGGTGGATCTGAAGGCTCATCAAGGCCCCTTTTTCCTTTTTGCCTGCGCATACTCCATACTCGCCCCGGTGCAGGTGCAAGCCATCAAGGCCACTCTATACCGCACGTCAGCGGACAGCCCAGTGATCTCAGCGCTCATCAAGGCAGCAGAGTACGGCAAGCAGGTGGCCGTGCTGGTGGAGCTTAAAGCCCGCTTCGACGAAGCGCGGAACGTGGGATTCGCACAGAAGCTAGAGGTGTGTTGGGGATTGTGGCAGGGGAGTGTGGTTGGGGAATGTGGCTGGGTTCTGAAGTCATGCTCACCCTGTTTGGACTGGTGACCCCATCCACCTCGTCCAACCGCATCATCACCATCCCATCTCTGCCGTTTCTCCCATGTCTTCTCTCTCCCTCGGCTCCACAGAACGCGGGGTGCCACGTGGCGTACGGGCTGGTGGGGCTTTCTGAGTGTCTCATTATTCGATCTTCTCTCTCGTTTCCCCCGTGTCTCCATTTCCTCTCCACCACAGAACGCAGGGTGCCACGTGGCGTACGGGCTGGTGGGGCTGAAGACGCACTGCAAGTGCATCATGGTGGTGCGCGAGGAGGAGGAGGGCTTCCGCACCTACGTGCACATCGGCACCGGCAACTACAACCCCCGCACCGCCTCTGTTTACACGGATTTCGGGCTGTTCAGGTGCGTCTCTTCTCTCTCCGTGGGTGTCTTGCCTTGGTGACCCGCTGCAACTACAACCCCCGCACCGCCTCCGTCTACACCGACTTTGGCCTCTTCAGGTGCGTCTGTGACTTGCCTTTCAAGGCTGGGAGAAGGAACTAGTGCCTGATATGATAGAATATCACCGGCAGAACAAGTTCAAACCAGTTGCCTGCTTGTCGCACCCAGCAGCACCATGCGCTGTTCTCCTGCGCTGTCCTTCTGCGTGCGCTTCCACCTCGTTTTAGTCTTCTTTTGAGGCGCCTCAAAAATAGACCATGCGCTGTTCTGCGAGCGCTTCCACCTCATTCCAGTCTTCCCATCCCCCACCCGTGACTTCGTTTTCTCCTCCCTCCCTGCTTCCAGCTGTCGGCCAGAGCTCGGAGAAGACGTGAGGGATCTGTTCAAGTACCTGACGGGATACCACAGACAGAACAAGTACAACCGCCTGCTCGTTGCCCCCGGCACCATGCGCCGGGAGTTCCTCCGCCTCATCGACCGCGAGATTGCCAACGCCATTGCGGGTCCTCAACTCACAACCATGCCCCTCCTCCCACTCTCCCCCGCTTCTTCTTTCCTCCTTCCTCCCGTCCCCGGTTCTTCTTCCTATGCAGCTGCCGGCCAGAATTGGGAGAGGATGTGCAGGATCTATTCAAGTATCTAACGGGGTACCACAGACTGAACATGTACAACCGCCTGCTCGTTGCCCCCGGGACCATGCACTGCACCGCGAGTTCGTCTGCCTTACTCCAGTCTCCCCATATCTCCCCTTGCTTTCTTTTCTCCCTGGTTTTGCAGCTGCCGGCCAGAGCTAGGCGAGGACGTGCGGGATCTGTTCAAGTACCTGACGGGATACCACCGGCAGAACAAGTACAACCGCCTGCTGGTCGCCCCGGGCACCATGCGAAGGGAGTTCCTCCGCCTCATCGACCGCGAGATTGCCAACGCAGCAGCGGGCCTCCCTGCCCACGTGGTCATCAAATGCAACGGTTTGGATGATGAAGTGATGGTTGCAAAGATTTATGAAGCGGTGGGGAGCGGTGTGAAGGTGGACTGCATCGTGCGGGGCATGTGCAGGCTGCGGCCGGGGGTGCCGGGCGTGAGCGAGAACCTGCGGGTCGTGAGCATCATTGGGCGGTTCCTGGAGCACCACCGAATTTTCAAGTTTGAGAACGGTGAGGAGTGGTTGGGGAGGGGTAGAAAGGGGTGTAGTGGAGGGAAATTGGGTGTGTTGATCTGTGTGGGTAGGCAAATTCGCAGATGTTGTGCTGTGCAGTGTTTGCAGTGTTCTGCTTCACTTCCTTTCCACCCTGACACTCCGTGTGGAGGTGGTAACCCCCGTGGATGACCGCGCAATCAAATCCGAGCTGCAGTCCGTCCTGGGCGCGTGCCTGTTTGACAAGCGCCAGGCGTGGCAGCTACAGCCCATCTTGCACGCATGCCTCTTTGGCACGTTTTGCGGCTCCTCAAACCCCTCCCCTCCCCTTTCCATCCTCCGCCCTCCCCCGTCCTGACCCCCCCACAGGCGGAGACCCCCAGTACTACATCGGGTCAGCGGACTGGATGAGCCGCAACCTCACGCGGCGAGTGGAGGTGGTAACGCCCGTGGAGGACCGTGCAATCAAATCCGAGCTGCAATCCATCATCGACGCGTGCCTCTTTGACAAGCGCCAGGCGTGGCAGCTACAGCCGGACGGGCGGTACCGGCTCATGGGCGTGTCTCAACCTCACAAGCCCTTATATCCCTCCTTTCTCCCTCCTTCCCTTCCCCCTTCGCTGTCGCCCTCCCCCTCCCAAATCTCCCTCTTCAGGCGGAGACCCCCAGTACTACATCGGGTCGGCCGACTGGATGAGCCGCAACCTGACACGGCGAGTGGAGGTGGTAACCCCCGTGGAGGACCGCGCAATCAAATCCGAGCTGCAGTTCATCATCGACGCGTGCCTGTTTGACAAGCGCCAGGCGTGGCAGCTACAGCCGGACGGGCGGTACCGGCTGATGGGCGTGTCGCAGCAGTGGCTGAGCGCGCAGGGAGGGAAGCTGCCGAAGCCGAGCAAGGAGAACAAGCTTCACCGCGCGGAGCACCTGGGTCTGCACCAGGCGATCATGGATCTCACTTTGCGACGGGTGAGTTTGGGGAGGGAGGAATGGCATGAGCACGGTGGGCAGAAAGGCAGGTATTGAAGCCAAGCAAGGAGAACAGGCTGCACCGGGGGGGAAACCTGGGGCTGCACCGAGCCATCCTGGACCTTGTTTTTCCTCTGCATGCTTGCGTCTGTGCCCACTTCTCTGCCCTGGTGCTGGTTTGGGTGTACCCTAACGCACTTGTCCCTTATATCCAATGATTCCACTTTCACCCGGTGATGCCCTGCAGACGAAGACGGCTCGCAAGGTGAGCTTGAAGAAGAAGGATGGCAGCCCACCCAAGGCACGGCGGTTCTTGGAGTCGCTATACGACAGCAGCACGCCTTGAAGCATATGTCAGCAGCACGCCATGAGGTCCCACACTGTGTTTGTCATGTGAATGCAAGACCCTTATGGCGTACAGAGGGCAATCCTCTATGTGGACAGCATAAGGGTGGCTTGAAGAGTGGATACTCAAGATGTTTACATATTTTTTGCCAGTTGTTGAAGGTGCTACGCACTCAAGCACCAGTGGAAAGGCTGTTGGTTTTTGTACTTTCAAGTAACTCTTTTCAACTTGTTCAAATAAGGTACTCGAAGGTTGTATGCATAAGCCATTTGTGCTAGTAGTGTAAGTAGAAGTTGTCTGTCGCTGTCCAATGGTGGTTCCTAGCCAACAAAGTACTTGACGCCCTAGAGTATACTTTCCTTGACGAGACCACGTACGCTCGTATAACAACAACCGCTCCCCTATTTTTTAAACCCTGCATAAGCCATCTGTGCTAGTAGTGTAGTGTGATTAGGCGGAGGAACGAGGGATCGCAATAAGAGTCACGAGTATCCGCATAAAGAGTCAAGAATCCAGATGAACCAAGCGCCTGGCTGGCACCCACCAAGCTGGCTGCTGGCAGGCACCTCGTTCCCACGTGTGAACCGGCTCGATTTGAAAGAGCATCCACGAATGCACAACAATGGACAAAATATGGCAATCGCGGTCGCGGCAGGGCTGTACTACTGTACGTAGGGGGGAAAACCAAGTGTTTTCGCGAACCTCGTTTGTGCCGCCGAAAGACATCGCGAGAAATCAGTGAGCGCTTTGCCACCAATCGGTGGCACGCTTGCGAAATCACTGACCTCTGAGTCTGACGTGTTCCAGATGGTAACCTTTGCTACAACTCTTAGGTCACGCCCTTACATCCACGTCATGAACACAATTTTCGTGGACCTTCCGCGTCCATGTGTCGACGTCACCTTTCCTTCCCTTCCAGTTACCATTTACTGGCCGCTTGTCCACGTCATCTCTGTCGCCTGACAGGTTTTAGAGAAATCCCACCTCAGCTCCCCTCCACCATCAGCCTCCTCGAAGTTGGTTCTTTCTCACAGATAGGGTTGCCTCGAGAGTAGTTCAACAACCAGTTTCAGAATTCAGTTTTGCCTCGCATCCATTTCTATCAGTGAGAAGTTTTAGCTTGGCGAGGTAAGGTTTCCTTCAGAGGCGGGTTTCACCTTGGAAGTCTGTTCAACCTTTCGCGCGTTATCATGACGAGCCCTTTATCTCGCAGATTCCGCTGCTCGTAGCAAGTGGTTTGATGTTTAGGGTTGCTTTTCAGGTCATTCCCTTGCACTACTGGTACTTAGTAGGTCATGGCGCCGCTTTCCAGCGTTGAGAATCGCAGAGTTCCGAACAGCTCGCGCTCCGCAGCGCTGCACATCGAACCGCGCAGAATGATTGATGCTGATGCCGCTAGTATCGTAGCTTCCGTAGACAACGCCACTACTGTTTCTACAACAATGCCCGAAGGCGAAGCTCCAGGAGTGACGTCACCTCCCCAGATCATCTTACCGAGAGACGTACCCGGGGAGGTGCAAGGCGTTACCCTGCGAAGCCATAGTTTAGCATCGGAAGCTTTGCGTGGAAATTTCACGCTGCTAAGTCGTAGTTTAGCTGAGGAAGTGACGAGTCCGCCTGCCGAGACAGCAGCAGTAGCAGCCGCCGAAGCAGCGGAGTTCTACCGGCAAATGGCAGCAGATGACAATTGGCGACGAATGGAGACTCTTTTTATCCTTCTAGTTGCTTTGTCGTCTCTTTATTTCAGCCGAACCGCTGCTGTCTTAGCCACGTCAGCAGTCGTTGTCGCATCGTTGATCATCCAGCATCGCACATCGATTCGACGGAGGACACAGATTTGCACCCGGCATTCGCACGCGAAGGCAGCCAGAGTTACTAGCTTCGCTTGTGTTCGCGAGCCGCTGGCGAAAGCTCCAGAGTCGTCTGACGCAGCTGTTGAACCGATAACATTCTCCACGCGGTTTCGGAGGGTCTTTTCATCCCCGTTATTAATGACCTCGGGTCAAGTGAAAGACGGTTGTCTCTCCGGCTTGGACGTTCTCGAAGCAGATAATCGAATCGCCACTGCGAGGGTGGAAGATGCTGCCACGGATAGAACGACGGATAGAGCGGTGACGGGCGAAAATCGGAGCAGCAGCAGGAAAATGGTTCGCATGTCGTCTCATCCGTGTCTCACCAGGGCTTCGTCCTTCTCCCCTCCACCTCCCTTCGGTGCCGGATCCCTCAATGATCCCAGCACGTGCCGTGATCATGACAGCAACAGCACTACTAGCCCTGTCGGTGACTGGGAGGAGCCCGAGGCGCGAGCAGGGCCTAGCGCCGCTTCTGACGCTGCACCATTCGACGACGAGGATTCGCACTACGCGAGCGGAGATCCGTTCTTCTCGGGTCCCTTGCCGTTACCTGCGCGAGTGAGCGGCGGTACTGATTCGCAACAGCAGCATGAAAAGCAAGGAATGAGAGGCGACGGCGGCGTGGGAAGGAGCGGCGTCTACTTAGGTCACTCCCTCCCGCGCTGCCGATCCGAGGAGGCCCCCTCTCCCTTCGGAAGCTTCCATTCCGCCGTGGGACGCGGCGGGAGTTACGAGCAGAGCCGAGGCGAGTCGATCGAATCTCCCGACGGGTCGTTCGCAGGGCTTTCAGACGAGGGGTGCAGCGGGATTGGAGTCGGTACTAGTAGCGGGGTTTACGAGGGGGAGGGTCAACTGATGGAGGGCGTATTCGACAGTACTAGCAGCGGCAGCGGCAGCGGCAGCGCACGCGAGGGAGGGCGCGAGGGAGGGCACGCGGGAGTGGAGTTGATTCGTGCGTCGACGGACGGGGTAGTGCAGGCGAGGAGGGCGCGGAAATTCACCATGGCGTTTATGGGTGCTGGTATGTTCCACGGGCGGGGGAAGGTGCGGCGGTCGGGCAGGATAGAAAAGAAAGGTTCGGGCAGGGAGAAGGATTTTGAATTGGGTGGCAATGATGGAGGGAGAAAAGGAGGAGGAGGGGAAAGGGGGGTAGGGATTGAGGAGGAGGGAGTGGGGATTGGAGAGAGTGTTGTGGCTCTGTCGAGAGGAAAGGGGGGTAAAGGCATTGGGAGCTTGTTCAGCAGCAGCAAGCGATCGCGGGTTGTAGGGTCCGCAGCAGGCGCAGCAGTAGCAGCGGTGCCTGGAGAAGAGGCTGAAGCACATGCAGCAGCAGCAGCAGCAGCAGCAGCAGCAGCAGCGGCGGCGGTTAGGGCGAGGAGCGGGAGGAGATGGTCCGATGGTGGCCGGAGCTGCGATCTCGATGCTGCCTCTAATGCCGCTGCTGGCGACACGACTGGCGCTGTTGCTGCCACTTCTTTGGCTGCCTCTACTAGTATAGCTGCTGGTGCGAGCACAGCGAGTGGAATGGAGGGAGTGGGCGCAGAGGGACAAGCGCGGCTGGCAGCAGGCCGATCCATCTCCCTGCATGCTGGGGCGTCTGTCGCCAGTCCCTCGTCCGTCCCTGCTGGAGAGGCTGCAGGGGGAAAGAGGAGCAAGAAATGGGGCAGGAGGGAGGGGAGAAGAGAGAGGGCTGGTGGGGGAGAGGAGAGGGGCGGCAGGGAGGCGGGGAGGAGAGAGGAGAGGGAAGGGATGGTTTCAGGGAAGAGGGAGCGGCGGTGCAAGTGGAGCAGTGACTCTCTGTTTGCCCACCTGGCTTCCGTGGGAGAGGTGGAGCGCAGTAGTAGCGTGGAGGAGGAATCGGATGAGGCGATGTCGCCTTTCTCTTCAAGCTCGTGGGAGCAGAGGCCTATTCCGAGCGGTTCAGCAGCAGTAGCATCGTCAGCAGCAGCAGCAGCAGCATATGGGGGCCATGAATTGCTGGCCCCGATCTTTTCTGGGGAAGTTTTGGACGGAGTAGCTGCAGCAGCAGCTGCAGAAGCAGCCTTTCTGGCAGCATCTCCAGGTGATATCAAATCAACGGCTGCGAATGCGAGATCTGGCGAGATTGGGCAGGCCGCAGCACCATCGAGCCGTCGAAACAGATTCGGCCGTCTGGCCTCCCTACGACCCCTCACCCCGCCCCACCTCTCATCCCTCCCTCACCGCTCACAGGGAACAGGGTCAGCCAATGACAGACTGACACCTGTACAATGGGCACAGCATGCAAGCAGCCAGCTGGTAGTACAGGGTGGGGCAGCAGGCCAAAGCAGGCATGGAGGTACGGGAGCTGCCGGAGCTACCGGAGGAGGTTTGGGTGCTGCCGGAGCTATAGCGGGAGATGTGTCTGGTCGAAGCGTATATATGCAGAGCACATCCCGGCCAATCACTCTCCTCCCTCCCGGCTCCTCCTGGCCCCCTATTTCCACCCCGTCAACCCCCCTCTCCTCCTCCTCCTCCTCCTACTCGAAGGACGCTGCTTCTGCTTCTGCTGCCGGTGCTGGTGGTGGTGGTGGTGGTGTTGCTGCATCGTCCGAAGTTGCTGCTCTGCTGCTGCTACTGCTGCTGACGCTCTCGTTTCTGCTGCTGGGGAAGGTGGCTGCTGTGGTTGGTGTCTCGTGTATGCTGCTGCTGGTTGCACGGATGGATCGAGGGGGAAGAGGGTGGGTGGGAGAGAGTGAGGGAGGGAATGGGGAGGCCGGGGTTGGGAAAGGGGCGGATGGAGCTGGGTTGGAAGACTGGAGGGTTGAGAGGGAGGCGGAAGAGGAGAGAGCGAGGGAGGAGGAGGAGAGGAGAAGGAGGGAGAGGGTGAGGGAGGAGGCGAGGCAGAGGCGGGTGGCGGCAATTCTGCAGCACAGCCAGTTTTCGGACCCCCGCACGCTTTCGGTAATGGAGGGGCTTCTCTCTCGGTCGAACACAGGTTTGGAGAGGCGAAGGTGAGGAGGAGGGAGGAATCTGAGTCGTCTCAGAAGTCCAATGCAGCACAGCCGGTGTTCCGACCCACGCATTCTGTCAGTGAGGGAGGGAGGGCCTTCTCTCTCGGTCGAACACGGCTTCAGAAAGACGGAGATGAAAAGGTGGGAGCAATGAGGGACGGGGAGGGAGCGGGCGAGAGAGGAGACGAGGCAGAGGCAGGTGGCGGCGATTCCTCCAGCACAGCTGCTTTTTGAGTCGGATCAAAAGTCTTCAGCAGCACAGCCGTTGTTTGGACCCGCTCACTCTGTCAGTCGAGTGGGGTGTCGGAGAGGCAAAGGTGTGGACGAGGCAGGATGGGTGACCGGTATAGACTGCGTATGTTTTATGAGAATTCTCAAGAAACATAGACTGCCTGGGAGACCATAGCCTGCAGCAACGAGACAGTATCTGGTCATCGTTGGGACCTGCATAGGCATTAGGTGGCAGGGAAGGGAACCTTCAAACGTGCAGGAAATCAGGTGGACTGTCACATAGATTGATTAATATGGAAGTGTGGGCGCGGTTCACGGTTGCTTGTAAAGAAGCAAGCCATTCATCCAACCAAGCTATTCAGACATGAAGCAGACAAAGCATTTCAACATTTGAGCCTCACCTTTTAGTGAGACGTGTCTGCTACAGGTGCATTTGCCTCCTAGCCAAATGTCAGTCAGTACTTTCATGTTTATTTATGCATTAAAGGTAACATACAAAACAAGGCAAAAGAATGCAGCTGGTGCGCTGCTTTTTCCTACAAACAAGCATCTTGGAACATCCAACTCCACTAGTAGCAGGGCGATTGGAACTGGCAGCGGAGCGGTTAGGGCGTGTTCCTACAACCAACCTCTTATCAGGCTCGCGTCACATTACACTGAAATTTCGCGTAAACTCGAAAACCTTAGAGGTTTGCCTGATAAGAGGGGTAGGAACACGCCCTTAGAGCTAGCAGCAGAGCGGTTGGAGCTGGCAACGGTCGGAGGTGAAAGCAGAGCAGTAGGGGGCGGAAACGGGGTGGCGGTTGGAGGCGGAAGCAGAGTGGTTGGAGGCGGAAGCAGAGCGGTTGGAGGCGGCAGCAGAGAGGTGGGAGGTAAAATCAGAGCGGTTGGATGGGAAAGCAGAGCGGTTGGGGGTGGCAGCAGAGGGGATGGAGGAGCAGCAGAGCGGTCGGAGGCGGAAGCAGAGCGGTCGGAGGCGGCAACAGGGCGGTTGGAGGCGCCAGCAAAGCAGACTCATTGATACTTAGCAAGATCCAAATTTAGGGGAGTTGCAACTGCCCCCCCGTAGAAGTCTCCACCAGCCTCTTTGACCATCCAGCACGGGGTAGCAATGTGGTAGGAGCACCAAGAGAGTGGTTGGAAGCGGCAGCAGCACCTTTGGATACTGTCAGCAAGAGCCAAATTTAGGGGAATTGGAGCTGCCTCCAGTAGAAGTCTCCACTAGCCTCTTGGACCATCCAGCACGGGGTAGCAGTGTGGTCGGTGCACTAGCAGACACTGTCGCCCCTTGCTCACCTGAGTACCGGCCCAGGTTTGGATACTGCCGAGCCTGGAACATGCCCGGGCCAGCCTGCAGCGATTGCTGCTGCTGCTGCAGCAGCTGCTGTTGCTGGTGCTGATGTGGCAGCTGCTGATTCCCTGGCAGGGAGAAAGGCATGCCCAGAGAGTGCTGCTGCTGCAGGGCTTGGGCTAGGAGTGCTGAGTCAGCGCCGAGGATCGATGGTGGTGTACCACCGAGCTGGGGGCGGGCTGTGTCCTTGAGGAGGAGAGAGACTTGCAGGGCTGTCACTTGTTGCTGCAAGAGGGAATCGGGACAGAGAGCGTGGATAACAAAGGCGTTTAGAGTGGTTCCAGAAGCCGAGGAGCAGGAAATTACAAGAACATGCATGGCAATGTTTCCAGCTCGTTAAGAAGCAACAGGAAATTGCAACAGAAGCAGAGGAGAGTAAGAGCGAGTAGCAGGCAAGAGTGTGAATTTACCTTGAGCCCTTCCACATAAGCCACTGCCTCGTCCAGCATGGTAGCCGTGTCGCCCGTGCCCTTCACCGAATCTCTCAGCCGCTTCAGCCCGTCGCTAATGCGCTTGCGCCGCTGGCTCTCCACGTGGCTCTTCATCTTAATCTGCCGCTTCTCCGCCTTCACACCCAGCCCGGAATCCCCCGCGCTGCCGCCCATCCGGCGAGAGTTGCCGCCCGGCGCATGATCTTCTGCAAACTGGTCCATGTGGGCGCCCCCCTCCATTTCATCGGAGCTCTCTCCGTCGCTCCCGTGCCTGTCACCGAGCCTGTCGCCGCTCTCCCTGCCGTGCGCGCCGGCTTCTCCCGAACCTGTAGCCTGCACCACCGCCTCGCCCGCCTCGCCGCCGCTCGGAGCGTCGCCCTGCCGCCCGCTCTGCCGAGCCGGAGAATCCTCGCCGGCCGAGGCTCTTGCCGCCCGGTCGCCGCTGTTTGACGCACTCCGCCGGCTCCCACCGGCGCCGCCAGCTCCGGCAGTGGCTGTAGCAGCTGTAGCAGCAGTAGCAGGGACGCTGGTGACTCCGAGCTTGGACGGTCCGAGCCTCGATGCAGCAGCAGAAGCAGCAGTAGCTGCAGTTGGGCTGTTGAAGAGCCTCTGGGGGTGACCAGCAAGCAGGGACGAGGGCATGGACTGGCGGCGTGTCTGGGGTGAGAAGGAGTCCCACCCATCCTCCATTTCGTTCTTCAGCTTCTCATTGCTGCCGTCCCCGCCGCCGCCGCCGCCGCTTTCGGAGAAAGCGCTTTCGCCGAAGGTGCTGCTGGAGATGACGTCAGCGGAGGAGGTGTTTCCCGTGGTTACTACCAGCCCGCCAATGTGGCGCGCCGCGAGCGAGTGAGCGTCGAATCCGCCGGCGGCTGCGCGGAGGGGGAAGGCCGCGCCGGTGCCGAACGGCGTGGTGCCGTTGCTGTGGAGCTGCGGGGTGGCCTGCAGCGACTGCTGCGCTGTGATTTGCGGCGTGCCGGCCGCCGCTAGAGCCATGATGTCGGACTCTAGATTTCTGTATGATGGCGCCTCTGCTGATTCGAAGTAACAAAGAGAGAGAAAGAGAGAGAGAGAGAGGGAGGGAGATAGAAAGAGAAATAAAGGGTTGGAGCACGGCGTGGTTTTGACAAATACAGCGGTAACAAGTTCAGCGTGGCGATGTAAAGTTTTTGCCCTATTAGGGTTTCGGACATTTAGTACCTGGTAGCGAAGCGATTTGAGAATTTCCATTGTTGTTGGACCTCAGTTTCTCCAAAAAGGAAGAAAGCTCCTCCGTGCTGCAATGCTCGAGAAAATTTTCCCACTCTGAATCCACAACAAGCGGCGGAGCAGAAGCCATGGCGATCAAACTTCGTGAACCTCTCTGGCGGATGGCCTCAGAAGTTCGAAAGTTGATAGCGCGAGCGGCTCCAGTGACTTCCAAGGGTGCTCGAAGGCAGTGGGAGTCAACATCAAAGGGTTCTCAGTGGGAGACAACCTTAAAGGGTTTTCGGAATGCAAGCTAATAAACGGCTATGCACTCGTTGATATGCCGGATTGAGGGCCAGGAAGGTGTTATTATAAACTCGGTGGCAGCAGACGAGTTGCGGCCATGGGTGAATCAGAACGCAGGGGGTGAAGTTGGTTGAGCTGCGGCAATGCTCATGATGAGTTGGTGGCGGGCATTCAAGCAATCCTGGTTCGTGCATGGTTCAGCTTGGTCTGGGCTGGGCTCGGTTGATCCGGGTGAGTCCCGTTCGCAGCTTCTGCTTCGGACTTGGCTGACATCATGGCGTTCCTGAATCCTGAGGTTTGTCTGTACAGGACAACGCAAGGACACGACGGGGGTTTCTAACCTTTTCCAAAATCGTATGCACAGATTCCAAAACACTTAAACTTTCAAGGCTTAAATGTCTAATACCCAATTATATAACGCCCTTCAAAAGGTTGGATCAGGATGGAGTATGAAGTGCACCTCTCTCCCATTCCTTAGTGCGCCCTAGCGTGGAAACAATGACATGGGGTGTCCGAACAGCTGCGTGCGGAAACACACCCAATGGTGCTTCCAAGACAACAGAAACGCCACCTGATTTTGCCAGACTCGAAAACCCCAGCTGTCTTGCCTTGCCAAAAGCGGTGGGCAGTTTTCAGGGTGACCAATCGGAGACCTCACATAACACTTTGAACAGAGTTGCACCATTGCGAAAGTACTGTACAGTTGATCTGTACTACACTGTACACATCATTTCTCTTTGCTCGCTCTGGTCCGATGTGCCGTTTTCGGCGCGTTGACTGGACTGCGCCGGACTGGCGGAGCATGGGCAAAGAGGCCTGGCGGGAAATGAGCGCAATGTAGGGAGTCCTTGCTCTCACCTTCTGCGCCACCCTTTTCGTCAGTCCCCCCCTCCATCCCTGAGAGTTCCCGTTCCCGTCAGGATAATAATCATGAATTCACGTCGGATGACGTGTCCGAAACGTCTTTTCTTTCGGTGGCAGCCGTCACTTGGTCTGTCGTGGTTGTGCAGGACATCCACATTCACAGGCTGCGCAACCTTCTCGCACAAACCTACGTCCGGGGAGGAATTATCCGGGTGGTGGAAGGTTGGGTGGGTGGGTGGTTGGATTTGAGCACAGCCTCCGCGCTATGTTGCACTGTGTCCCCTTCACTCAATGATGCTGCGTCGCGCCTTCGGGCTCTAATAAATGAAGCATCAAGCTGGCACAAAATCAAATGTTGGAATAGATCACCTCACCATTACTGTATCGAACACAACATGGTCGGGCAACGGGGAGTTGGGGCAACTGTCTGACAACGAACTTCTAGTTTATAAAACTGTACACTTCACGACAGCTACTTCTGTTCAAGATCCAGAGCCCTCAACGAATCAGCAGAACCATAAGGGCGTGTCCCACGAGTTCGTTTACAGTTCATGTTCATGTTTGATCCCGACTTTGTGATTGTAACCCTCTACTGTATACATGCGAGTTAAATGACGCATGACAATTGACGCATTTTCCACGTCGACGTGTTCGTTTTGAACGCGTTTAGAAAGAGAACCTACGTACGTGCGATCACCTCGAACAGGTCCGCGTGAGGGGTTACCGTAAGCTCCGAATTCGCCCAACCCATGGTCTCGCGAAAAAAACGACCGTCGCATTGGGGTCCGAGTTTTTGCATGTTTCTTGTTGTGAGCACTCCGTCATTTTTGGCACATTCGATTCGCAACTGGGGCGGGTTACCGCTCGCGGATTCTGTCAATTGTGAATCGCTTGACGAATTTTGTGTAGGCGGAACTATGCGTCCGCCTGGTGCAATTCCGTTTTGCTCGGTGCTGACACATTCCGTTTTTTTTTCCGTCAGAGTGTACACTCCTTTGCTGACTTGCAGTTTACGTAAAAAAAAAAGGATTTTCCCCAAAACGAACTCATGGGACACGCCCTAACACAGACCCTCAATATTCGGAAATGACGGTATTTGGAAGGATATTGTTGTTTGTCTGCTTTTTTACTTCAAAATGCAAGTCATTCTGCATCCAAATTTTATAAGAACTTCGTACGAGTATATGTACCATGACAAGGTGTACATTTATATTGTGAAATATATGCCCAACTGAAATTATGCAGCAAGAAGGTTGGCTCAGATTCTGCAAACTTGAGACGCATCAGGGCCACAAACAAGAAGATACAGGTTGAGTAGTATGCCCATAATCTCCCTGTTTTCAACACAAAAGGTGTAACAGACAACATATTTGAAGCAGAAACAGTTGAAGGAAATTGGAACAAAAGAAGTAATACCACGTACTAAAATAATATGTATAAATGATTATATGATAATTTTTTCTAAGAAAAGGCTTCAAATCGCCATTAGCGAAGCTGATAGAGGAGAGTAATAATGGATTATGAAGTTTCCCATTCATGGCAGCGTAAAAATTCATGGACTTGAAACACTGTGGTTAGTGTAATGCGACTCTAGAATGTGTGGTGTGACGAATTTTGGTGAACATCTGTGCAACGACAATACACATGATGCTCAGTCGAATCGCAGACATCTTGAGAAACTGAACGAGAATGGATTGACTAAGGGAAAGTTGGGTACAAATACAAACCCTAGAAAACTGTACCCCATATGTGCTACCCCACTATAGCCTACAGTAGCTATGTCATATAAATCTGACACACCCCCATAGGCAAAGTGGGGGAGAACAAGGGGTCACAAGACCAGTCAAGCAAAGCAAAGCAAGCTCAGGGTGGATCACAAAGTCACCACACATTCCGAGCACAAGTTCAAGGCCACAAGGCCAGTTCACATGCAGGATTACATGTATATGTAAGGCTAGACAAGCAAGAGCAGGTGTATATATATATGCAACAGTACAAACAAGGTCAAGGGGTGAGCAAGTGAGGTAAGGTAGGCACAAGACCCAGCTGAGTACAGAAGCGCTGATGATCACAAGGCGCAAGTGCCTTGGTGAAGATATCAGCAGTGTTGGCCTGAGAGGCCACGTACACAAGCCGCAGCTGACCACGCTGCTGTAGCTCACGAGCAAGGAAGTAGCGGAGCGCAATGTGCTTCGTTCTTAGCTCCAGTCTCTGCTCTCGACACAAGGCCAGCATGGCCTTGTTGTCTACGTACAGCACTGGAGGAGAACGAGGCGGCTCTCCGAGGTCAGTCAGCAGGTAGGTGAGCCAGCGAAGCTCCTGTGCAGCCATGGCCCCGGCGTAGATCTCAGCCTCACAACTGGAGCCGAGAACAGAAGACGAGCGGGTAGCCCGCCACGAAACAGAGCCGGAACCAAGGCTGAAGGTGTAACCCTGTGACGACCGCTGCGTAGCCTGGTCGTCAGCCCAAGAAGCGTCTGCGTGCCCAGTGAGGACCACTGGAGTCTGCCCTCCAAGCACAAGCCCCATGCCCGACGTACTGCACAAGTAGCGCAACACCCTCTTCGCTGCAGCCATGTGCTCCGGTCTGTGTCTCCCAGGAGCAACATAGCGTGCGAGAATGCTAAGAGGGTATGCAAGGTCAGGTCGTGTGCAGGTCATCAGGTACATGAGGCAGCCAACAAGCTCTGGGTACGAGCCACTCGACTCTACGGACTCATCCGAAGGCAGAGCTGAGAGCGAGTGGCGAGTAGGCAGAGGAGTGGCCTGAGGCGAGGAGTACGTGAAGCCGAAGCGCTGAAGGACCTGCTGCACCATGTGTGACTGAGTCAGGGTAATGGTGCGGCGTGCTCTGTCCCGGGTGATCTGCAAGCCAAGGTAGCTGCGCAGTTCACCCAGGTCTGTGCACGTGTGTCTCTTCTGCAGCTCGGACTTCACGTGGGCGAGTCCAGCAGTGTCAGCTGTGGCAAAGACCAAGTCGTCGACGTACACGAGGATGTAGAACGGCGGCAAAGAAGTGTCGGTGCGCAGAAACAGCGACGGGTCGGCAGTAGAGGGAGCAAACCCAAGAGCCGCAAGTGTAGTCCTCAGTGTGTCACTCACGCGGTGCCTGGCGGAGACCGTAGACTGGCCGCCGGAGGCTCCACTGGGTGCCAGGAGGAAAAGACCCAGTGAAGCCAGGTGGGCGACGCAGCCAGATCTCCTCGTGCAGGCTGCCCTGCAAGAAAGCAGTGCTGAAGTCAAGAGAGTGCAGCTCGTAGTCGCGGTGAGCAGCTATGTGCAGCAGTACCCGAAGAGTGGTCATCTTCGGGGTGGGAGAGAAGGTCTGAAAGTAGTCAACTCCCTGCCGCTGACTGAAGCCACGAGCCACGTAACGCGCCTTGAAGACAGGCGGAGAACCCGGCGGTCGCTTCACCCTGAAAATCCACATGCCACTGACGATGTTCGCCCCAGGCGGGGGAACCTCGTCAACGTAGGTGCCTGTGGACTTCCAGGAAGCCATCTCTGTGTCCATAGCTGCCTGCCACTGAGAGGAGTAGGGACCCTCTATCGCCTCCGCGTAAGAGCGCGGAGTCGGGATGTCAAGTGCATCCGGGTCTCCCTCAGGGGTAAGCAGTACGGACACGAGATGAGGTGAAGCAGCAGCCAAACACTGGAACTCCTCCTGCCTGTCCTC